AGGTATTTTGAATAAAATAACTGATTTAATTGCGACACAATAATCGCTAATGCCCAAAGAAAAATAGAAAAGCTTTTGGTGTAATTCACGTTATTTGTTAACGAAGCGAACGAAACGCGGAAGCTGAGCTTAGCGTCAATGCTACCTACTTGAGCGTAAGAACTGCCCCAAGCTAGTACTATATTTAAGGTCTACCACACTATAGCGTGCAATGATGCGTTTTACGTTTATGTTTGGCCTCTCAGACTATTCCGATTACTAGGTGGAATGTGGCCGTTTGAGCGAAGATTTTGACTTACAGTTGCCGTCGGAGTAAAACAATATTAAAATAATATATAGCTTAATTTACGGATATTTATTCATAACTCGAGCGCTATATACAGTAACCTGCGACTCTGGTACAACCCTAACCATGTACCCACCTAATCTTAATTATGCCCAAAGGTCCTATGAATTCGTGTGTATATATATATACGGTATATATTATTATTTTTAAACTCCCGGGGAGAATGTAAAACAAAATTATTAAACCGTCTTGTAGCCGGAAAAGTTCGAAATACCAGGAACGAAAAGACTGTACACCGATTAATATTGCTGAAACAATTTTTTCATTCTTCGCCATAGTTTGGTACGTGCTGCTATATAGTTGAGTACATAGTAGCGACACACTCTATTATACTACTGGATCTCCGCTCTGGGAGACCATTTTTCTCAGTCATTCTGTCTGTCTGTGTAGCGTCTAGCTATACTGTTGGGCCGATCTGGTTGAAATTTCTACCGTAGGTTATGCTGTCAACCCGACAATGTGCGTTTCATCGAAAATCTGGATTAGTGTTTCGTTTCCATGGCATCACCAAACAAATGGACCAATTGATGGAGGATTCCTTCATTTTCGCAATTCACAATGTGTCTCCATTCTCGTAAACAACCTCGATAATTAAAATTCCTTAATCGCTACCTTCCGTATATGTATATACTCTTTCGAACAAACCATTTTTACCTCTTAAATCGATGAACTGGGAAAGCCTTGGAAATTTTAGTGGACGTGATTAATTATTAGACGCTCTTATAGTCTATAGCAGTGCTCTTCAACCTTTTTGTTATTGCGGAACCCCTGATATAATTTTTCGTTTTTTATGGAACCCCAAATACCAAAAATAAAACAAGAAATACTCGTAACACAAAATGTTTGAAATTCAAATATTTCTACTTCAACAACGAAACAGAAATAAGGTAACAAGCGTGAAATTCAATGACTAGGTTGTTCTTGCATTTCCTTTGCAATCTACTTGAATCGTTGCTCCACGTCGCACAAAGCAATTCTCATACTCATGTCTACACTCTTTAAAAACTTTTTTTTGTATTTATTAGTTGTTAAAGCAGAAAATGCTGATTTACACAAATAGGTATTGGGAAATTGACACAGAAGTTTTAATGCTTCTTTTGCAATGGCTGTACCCTCTTTGTGAAGAGAAATCCAAAAATATTCCTTCTCATGTTTTTTGAAGGTTTGCTCCGAATTATTATCATTACGGATACCTAAGAGTCCTTCTTGCTGTTGCGCTCTAAGAAATTCATCCAAAAACGGAAAAAAAGAATAATCATTTTTTTGCAACATTACTGGCCCAGCAGTCAATTTTTCCTTTACGCAAAACCCCTATGGAACCTTATAAACTCACGGAACCCCACTGCATGTGTTGCGGAACCCTAGGGTTCCGCGGAACCCCTGTTGAAGAGTACTGGTCTATAGTCTACTCTATACCGCTCACCAAAAGATTACCGACGAAAAGCCCAGCGCTCAAAATGAACCGGCAGTTACGTTATCTCGGTCACTGCAGTACGCTGTTGTTGTAGGTTCAATTTTGCGTGGATGGTAACGGTTTACTGAAATGCGGGCCGACTCGTGTATCAGCGGTGATCCCGGGCACCCACTTGCTTGAATTAGATAAAATTAGGAACATTTTTATTCTTAACTAGTTTCTACGGCTATATTTTGACCATTTTTTAATTTTAATATTTGCGTGTCATATGATTGAAAGGGGAGATACTTTGCTTGAGAAGTATAAATGAAAGAAAAGTATAAATAATAAGCATTTGAAAGTGTTAAACATAACTTTTTAAACAGGTTGTAGAAAACCAATTCCCAATTGAGCTAAATTCAACTCGGTTATGATTGGATATAGAAAAATAATTACAGAAAATACAATTAATTCTAACGCCCGATCGAGCACATACGTCGCTCGAAAATCAAATTTGGTTATGACTGTTGCGTAAAACGTAACGATGACTCAGAGAAAGGTCCGAGTAGACTTATTGATATAAAATCTAGGTCATCATATTTTATTCTTAGTAAGCCTATGAGGTTACTTTAAATAGCTTAAAGCTTTATCTTTGAGAGTGCGCAATCTAATCCTGATTTTAGAAATTATGGCTTAAATATATTAGGCATTGAGAATATGAAGGCTTAAATGCCGGGTTAGAAGCAAAATGGGTGCTCCCAAAGTATTCGTACCAAGATGGTGCACAGCCTGGACATAGCATGTGTACCAGGTTGTGCGTCATCTTAATACAAATACCTCCGGAGCGCCCCAAACTCTATTGTAAATATTATGTTGAAAGTAATATTGTAAAATATAAAGAATTATTACAGTTCGCTATTTGACGTGTTTTATCATACATATATTGAACACCTTTTAAAATCATTTCGTGTACAAACACTATTTAACACTCACTATGTCTCAATTATGTTATCTTCATAAATTAAAAAACTTAACCCTAGGGTTTCGGCCCGGTCATAAATGGCTGATCTGTGTCATAATTTGGGTTTACGGCTAAATTAAATGTATTTTGGGGGGTCAATAGTATTTCATAGTGGTCTGCATGTGAACCAAACCAATTTCAAAACTCAAAATGTTTGAGTTCAAATTATCCATGCTTGATCCGAGTGTTCTTAATTACGGTGATGTCATCATATTTTTTTTTATGTATAATTTTTATTTTGCAACAAGGTCAATTTTATTTGTGTGAGTATTTCAAAGCTTAAAAATAACCAAATATTCTGTTGTTAGTTGAAAACGAAGTATTTTGAACGCGCGAGCAACGTTCTTCGGCTCATAATAAACAAACAAAGATACCAGACAGCACGCGATCAAATGCTCTTCGATAAAACGAATATCACTTCACTTACAAATCCCAGTCTTGTTTTATCTTGAAGGTGACGTATAGCTCTTCTAAAAGAGAACTCTTTCTCTCGCATATCAATCACGTGTCGACCACAGCGTTAAAAGTGAGAAACTTTTTCTCGAAATTTTTTGAAATTTCTCTCTTCTTACTGGCATATGGTCGGACGCATTTACGCTACGTAATGTGGGCGCGTTTTAGTGGAAAGCGACGAAAATAAGCTTTTTAGGGACACATTAATGATGTCTTTGGCATTTTTGGTTGGTGGAATATTAAAAAAATTATAGAAGGGTGTCAAAATGACCCAGGAACACCAGGGGTCATTAGGTTGTACAAATTTATAAGAGTGTCTATTATCTGGTATCCAAACGAATGCTTGTCTAATGAAGTGTGGTAGAAAACGACGATCGTTTTCATGTGCTCCGAATGAAGAACTCGCACAATAGTAATTCAAAATAAAATTTGGTTGTTTGTTCTGATAGCTGAGTTTGTTAAAACGATCTGATACAGAGACGGCCGAGTGTGACCAAACAAAAAATTTGTGCACTTTTAAATGAAATAAAACGGCAAAATTTTGGGAAAAATATCGGGCTACACCGGAAGGAATTTGTATAAATTAAATAGAATAAAATTAGCAACCATCTTAAAGTACGATTGGTCAATTGGTAGCGTTGAAAATAGATTTGTTTTTTTCGCAACAACAACAAGAAATCAGCAAAAAGATCCTCACGCTGATGGTTATGATCGTGTGGTGTCAACCTTGTATTCGGAAAAAAAGTTTTTGTGTTTTATATTCCTTAAAATGTAATCTGACTTAATATTGTGTTTAACAGTATTTCCGGGTCCCCATGTTAGAATACAAACCATTAACGGAAACCAGAAAAAGTGTTCAGCAACAGACTGCAGCACTGCAACACAAGTTGAATGGCACAAAGCATCTAACAAAGTATCAACCGAAACTACACGGGGAGTTTATCAAACGATACAAACTGGATCAGCAACTTTGAATCTTCAAAACGCAAATATTGCAGATGCGGGATCCTATCGTTGTCGTTATCGAATTGGCCAAACCGAGAAAACTAAAACTGTATCATATGAAGGTGAATATAGTTAGTTACTAATATATAGACACGGAGATCGCGCATCGGTGCGGATACTATATAAGATGTTAGATGAGTCCCGAGTTTGCTGAAAGTTCGTTGGAAAAGCGTAATGAAGGTGACCAAACACCACAGAATAAAATATTTCCATTGTCAGTTACCCAATAGTTTTATTTGTCATCACAAAATGTACATAGAAAATTGAAATAGCGAAAAGATAATTTATTTATGTTAAACTTTAGGTGCTCCAGAAGTATGCGCACCAAGATGTCGCACAACCTGAATCCTAACCGGTACACACATACTGTGTGTGTGGTTGTGCGCCATCTTGGTGCGCATACTCCTGGAGGTCCAATTTGTGACTTGTGAAAATGTCATCAAGCAACAACACTCACACTCACCACATGACAATTTTGGGTGCGATATCGGATCCATTAAATATGACTCAGAACTAATAAATAAAAGTAATAGTCTCTTGGCGGCTGGCATCTTTGACTACTAAAAATTTGAATTCGATTAGCCATTTGTTTTAAAAAAAAAGCAATGTTTTCTTAACAACAACAAGCACCCCGACAATGAGTACAATTTTAAACGATCCCCTGTACACTTGGTTTCCACTCATTCTGTCCACTAATTTCTTTGGGTGAGAACGGGTTTAGGCGAAATGATTACGGACTGGTCTGACAAAATGCCACGTGAAGGCTCAATATTCGTAAAGTAATGGCTGAATATCGAGCCAGAAACTCGAGTAAATTAAAAATAGAATTAGAAATATTAGTTTTTTAACATCTCCGAACCTACTTTGTGTGCTTAAAATTTGAAATCGGAGAAAAGCAACGTTTCCTCAACAACCACAATCATCCTAACAACAACAACAACAACAACGAGAATTTATCTAAACGATTCATATGTTCACTTTGCCTCCAAGGACGAGTTCTATTCGTTCTATGACTTATTCTTTTTTTTCCATGTTTTAGTGGATGGACAACCTACAATCCATCAAATATCGAATAACGCCTGCAATTCTAATTTGTTCATCTCATGGCAACCACATATAAATGCTGTAGGATTCCCTCACAAGTGAGTTTGTCTTTATAATTATTTATCAGACAAAATCTGCTTTTTCTCTTTTGTTTTTACATTTCATTCTAAATAATGCTATAAGCAAGCCACCGATACTAAATAAAGCAACATATTTATTTCACCCTGTTTTTGCGCCCCAGCTAGTCCCGAGACTGGCGTACAAGATGTCAAATTTTGTACAAACTAGTTCTCACAAATATATCATTGTGTTGTAATATATATATATGGTTTCAATAAAAGGAAAGTTTATCTTATGAGCCCGTTGAGTGAGTGACCGTCAACACTAGTCTTTCGGCTGTGTTGTACAAGAGTCGACAGTAAATTAAGTGTTTATCTCTTAAATAAATGTTTAGAAATAACTAAAATCCATTAGATATAGAGAATGCAGAGGTACGCCTAGCGCTATAGTGCCTGCTTGAGGTAGATCTTGTCCTATAAAAAAGGATGTGCCACTTGCGGCTCGCGGGCCAAATGCGGCCAACAAGAAAAACTTGTGCGGCCCGCTAAGAAGCGCCACTTTTGAATGGCGTGGGGTCCGCGAAACGAGTTTTTATTTTTAATCTAGTATGTGCTAGTAATTCCAATTTATTTGCGTTGCAATGCCTATATTTGAGTTTGTGCAAAGCGAACAACGCATGTCACAAGATCAACAACCAAAATCTTTGTGTCTGGAACTACTAGAAAACATATGTTAGGTGGAGGCGCGGCCCGCGGTTTCATCCAGTTGTTTGTATCTGGCCCTCGTGGATTAAAGGTTGCACATCCCAGCCCCTGAGACTGCCCTGTAGACCTCATGCTAAAGTACTAGTTTGAGGTAGATCTTACGTTATAGTGCGGTAGACCTTACGTTATAGTACCATCTTGAGGCAGTTCTTACACCACAGCAGCATCAACATTAACCTCAGCTTCGTGTTTCGTCACCTTCGTTAACTAATAGCGCGAATTTTACCAAAAGCTCTTATATTTTTCATTTGGCATTAGCGATTAATGTGTTGCAATTAAATCAGTTTTTTTTTTAAATATATCAATGTTGGCTATGACGTGATGAAAATAATTTCAACCAAAGGGCAATGTGCGAATTAATTACAAATACATAATGGATTTTACTGAATTTATATTCTATTTCACAGGATCGAAGTAAGTCCGACCACAGGTGGATCAACAAGATGGGCGAATTCAACAACATCTGAGAATCAAGAAACCACAATACCCGGTTTGTCGCCAACCACAACCTATCAAATCAAGGTTAGAAATAATGGTTTCTTATAACGGTTTATTTGATTATATTTATTTGGGTTGCAATCAGTTTTCTCTTTACATAAGAATAGCCTTGATACAACATGCTCGTCAAGTACGTAGTATGTGTATCAGGTTAGGGTTAGGCCATAATTTTATTCCAAATTTCCTTATTTTATTTTCACTACGAGTTCGGGGAATGTCTGTAACAGCTAAGCAAATATACTTCCTGCCCATAGACCTCAGTTCCTTTACACAACTTGATGTAAAGTAGGCGATTAATTAATTGCCGCAATATTGATACACACACTCCTGGAGCGCCGTTTTTACTGTGGCAGACGATCAGAGAGAACTTTTCATCAAAAAGTTTCTTAGAAACTTACAATCGCGCAAATTTACGTCTTTTTAGTATAATAATAATACAAGTTTTTCATTATATATTAATTTTATTTTTCAGATAACTGCATGTGTAACAAAAGATAATTGTCCATCCAAATATTCCGCCACAGAAAGCGAAAAAACAGGGGGAGCAACGTTGTCTGCTGAGTCTTCGTCTACTAAACAGATCAAGGAGAATCAAACTTGTGTCATCGATTGGACATTTCCAAACAGTGCAAAGATTGGTGGCACGTATAACGTTGTAAGTATATATCGTTGACTCAATTTGATTTATATTGCATCTCAGAATAGATAGAATGGTCTGGTATACAAACTAAACCCCAACCAAATTAGATTACTTTATGGTGATGATAATTTGCTCTCTGGATGCACACAAATTTTGACCTGGTCGTTTGGATACCTCAATCTCACGTTTGAATTCTTTCTTTATAGCAGATACTTAGATACTTCTCTGTTTCAATGGAAATATTGACTCTGACTCTCGACTCGAGACAATAGAGTGAATGAAATTAAATTGGAAAATTCCAAAAAATTAGTTTTGAAACCTGTATTTAGATTTTATATGTGATATCATATACTTTAAGCGCAAAATGCAAATTATTTATACAGACTGTGCTTTTAGATAAACACGTACGACACTATATACGTTACGCCTATATAACTTTTGCCTGTGAGCTGATTAAACGTGCGCCTTAGTAGTCACATTACTTTTCCATCTCAATTTTTCCTTTTACTTCACAGGAAGTTAACTTAACTTCGTATTTGGCTACGTCCCGAGTTTCCAATAAGCAGTCAACATACAACTTGATCAATGTAACATCATCGTTGCCGCATTCCTTTCAACCAGACCCAAATCGCAATTATTCAGCTTCGATAAAAATATTCAATTGTGCCGGAGCGAGTCAATCAATCGATTCTGGTGGACTTTGCACTGGAAGACCAAAAGGTATAAATATTAGTATTATAAAGCTAATGAGATTATAACCACTGACAATTGTAACTACAGGGTGACATCAAAAAACCAAATAATAACTTTCCGGGTTTCGTTTTGTGTAACACATTATATATAATGTGATCATGATACACAAATGGTATATTTTAAGAACAAAAGTAAAATGAATAAATATGAGTCACCTTGAAACTAATATTTCCTCTTGCGTCAATCCAAAGTTATACCAAAAGTCAAAATAGATTTATTTGTGTGTGTATTGATAACATTTATCTTGGCACTTAGATTCACTGGTCCGAGTAGATTCACTTACTTGAGTACATTCATTGGCTCGAGTAGATTCACTGACTCGATTAAATACACTGCTAAACACACCTCCAAGAATGCTCTCATCATTGTGAACCGACATTGCCTTTCGGACTCAAAGAAAGTTATTCTACTTGAACCCTTTTTGCTTTTGCTTATTGCAATAACTGTCAATATCCCCAACATTTCTGAGAGATAAAAATATGATAATTTAACAGCACCTGTAGAAGTATCTTCACTTCAGCCTGTTGAAAACAATGTTATAAATGAAAATGGAACTAAAGAAATGACTTTGCCGCGACCAGATGAAACAAACGGACTCGTGAGGTACAATCAACCTAATTTGAGGATTTTTCGAGAATAAGTTCAAGATCGTATAAAACATACATTATTGCACAAAGCAATGTTTTGAGCTCTGAACTAGATTTTCTATGATGTTGATTGGAATATAACTGGACAAAAATTCCCAAGTAATCATTGTATATCTAGAGTTGATAAATATAAATATAATGTTGATGAAGAATTAATAAATCAAGCTTTTGATAAATTTCTATGTTCAAATTTTAGATGAAGTTTATATTTAATTTAGTAACACAAGCGACCCTTAAGGAGAATTTTTTTGATATTCATAAAAAATAGTTTTTCTAACTTCTTTCCATAAATTCGAACAGTTGCATGTTGGTGCTCGTTCGGAAAACTGGATCGGAGGTTGCTGCTAAAGTTTCATTGGACAATTTGAAAGAAGTGAACAAATCTTCAGAAGACGGAGAATATATTGCAATGGCCATACCAGTCACAGGGTAGTTGTGGAATTTCATTTTTATATATCCTCAAGGCTATATGTTTGGTTTAGAATTGTTTTGCCCGCTTGATGTTACTCCAAACTAACCCAATACAAAAAGGTACAAATTCAAATTTAGTTCTTTTAGTTCAAGTTCAATTCAACTTCCGGTTATCTGAGCTTTTGTTTACATTTTTAACATTATTACACCTGTTGCATTTATCATATTGGAAAACATTCTACTATTGTGTGAATGTCACGAATTTGACTAATTTATGTTGTGTTTTGTTGTGTAAATACAACACAGATATCGCATCGAAGAATTTTGAACCTACCCCAATTAGACTTCCAAACGTGTCGTGTGGAACGTCGTACACATATCTTCAACAATATTACAGTTAATAAATCAATAAAAATATAAGTAGATTTTAATTTTCCAGAATCTCCCATTAACAAAACTCTTTGCGCTATGTTGTCTGTTTCTGTAAGGCAAACACATGCTAAGTCTGATACAACTCCATTGAATATTACAGAATGAACGAGCAAGAAATGAAAATCATTCTCGGAGACGAATCTGAGTCATCATGTGACGCAAACGATACTGGTATTAATAGTTCAAGGAAAAGGAAGAAACGATCAACACAGAACGGAAATGTATTTGTTGGACAAAATAATAGATTTATCAAAGGAGAAAAATACAAGTATGTGTATATTATATATATATATGTGTGTGTATATGTAAGTTTGTTCGAAGCAAGTTCTAGAGCCCTCCGGTAATAATAAATGCGTATTAAAATGAAAAAAAGCATAAAGTAGCCAATAACGCGTTAAAGGGTGATATGTGTGCTTGCTCGCAATAAAGGTGTTAAAAACGTTTGATAAGAGGCTTGAGGTAGTTTTAGTTGACAATTGACGTTACTTAATAAGACGAAGGGAATTACGCAGAGTCTGCAATACGAGAAAGAATCGAGTGACTGACAAGCCGAAATCTGTAGAGTACATGTATGTGAACTTGAAAATGGGCTATTTATTGTTCATTTTCATGATAAACACTAATGTTTAAATCCCATGTCCCATAACGTTTTTGATTTAAGTATAAAAAAGCGAAATATAAATATAAGACGTCGAGTATTATCAACAAAAAGTATAGCGAAATAGAATTTGGAAACGAAAGTTTTAAAAATCGACAAAATATAATCACGAATTGAAGATATTTCAATTTTTTTTTCAATAAAGGGGGAATTCAAAAAATAAATGTTCAAAAAAATGAAAATTACTTTACATTTTTGGCATCTGGAAATTTCAGTAGTTTTGTTGGAAAATAACCTTGAAGTTACAACTGAAGCTCAGTTAATACTTTGGATTATCGTTGAATATCCAATGATATCTGTACAAGGCAAATGCTGAAAACACAGGTCTATTATCGTAAAGTACTATTACTATATTGACTGATATCACGAGTAATTTGAATATGAATATTCTAGTACTCGTTACTACTTATCGATATAGGTATTTGTCTGTCTGTATGTCTGTTTGTCTGTATGTTCGTTAGATGCACGCGATATCTCACGAAAGCGAGATTGAATCTGCTCCAGATTTTGCATGTGCATTCATCTTATCTCGTACCAGAAGCCTATTGATTTTGGGCGAATTATGTCAAATAATTAGCGAGTTATTATTTAATTAGTAATGGAACACAGGGTGTCACTATGGAGTAAGAGCGCTGTTTTCGGGGATCCCCTAACTTTCGATCGATAAGTCTTCGGTCTCTGACCGATATTCTCGTTTGTATATCAAGAATGCCATAATAAGATTAATAATCTGTGACTTGACGTACGTCGATCAACAAAAGTCTGTCACCTCACTTGAGTTGTAACAAAATATGTCAGATATGCTGAACAAGAAAAAAAGTTTTGCATACTCTTTCTCGTATACATACATATACATCAGAAATACTTTCAAAGTGGAAAGTATCAATAGGTTGAATACTTGGGAATAAAAATTTTAAATTTTTTCTAGAGTTTCAGTTGTGACTTCCACACCATCTGGTGATGAAGTATACTTCTTACGGAGCCCGGAAATTACTTTGAAATGGGCAACAGAAGATGGTACAGGTATCTTCAAACATATATCGATAAAAATGATTTTTTTTTAATTATTCAGATATATTTTTGAAATTAAGTATATTGTTCAAATATATTGTTAATCTTGTAACTTATATTATAATTGCGATATGAATTACGATTTGTTCAGAAATACTTTGTTTTGAAAAAACGTGATAGTTTAAATGATTCTTGTAAATTCAGTTACTCAATTCGGTTTTGCAACAATCCGTGGTTTGCACTTTATTGTGGTCTATGTTGTATCAAAACTGTCTCATAATTGTGCAGTGAATGCTTTCAACGGTAAAAAATACAATATTTGTATCCGAAATTGAAATATTTTTTGCAGTTTACAAAGTCGTAAAGGCCAACCCCAATAAAGCAGAACTCTTGTAATTTGGAACATATTCTAGACATAACATAACTTTTGTGCAAAGCGTCCTAATAAAGAAATGTATAGGTTCTGCTTCTTCTTTGCTCCGAGAGGAGATGGGCGCCCTGTACACTGTGGTATTTTCATGTAAATTTCTTTCTACAAAGTCCGTTTTGTTTAAAAACAATTGTTAGTTATATTAAATTTAAGAACGAAATATAGTTCGTATAATAATCCCGAGGACAATGTGAAGCGATATGCAGGTTTTTATCTGGTAGGGCATGAACTCTCATGCGGTAACTAATTTTAGTCGGGGTTCAAAAAGCTGATCTTTTTGTTACTCCTTTCATGTTAGGGGCTTGAATGTGAGAGAAATCAGTTACCCCTCACTTGAATAGGTGAACCGAAGCGCAAAAGCGAATAGTCTAATAACCCGTAACCTTAACATAAATGGATATAGGTCACCAAAGTGTTGGAAAAAATAGAAGAGACTCGAGTCCTCTAAATTGAATGACTCATATTCCCATAACCGCCAGTGAGACACAACTCCGTAATTGACTTGACTTCAAACTCGACTCAAGATGAGCCATGAGAAAACTTGACTAGTGACGCGGGTCGAAATGATTCGTGTTATCAAAATGAAGTGACTCGGACTCCTACTTCAGTAACCGTAAGACTTAGCTCAGTGATTGACCTGACTCAATAATTGAATGGGTAACTAAACTTGACTCGTGACCCGGATATATAGTACTGATGCAGAGTACATGTAGGGGTAAGCATGTTTCTACTGTTGAATAGATCGGAAAGAGATTATTCAATATTAGTCGAAAGTAGATGAGTCTAAATGACTTTTTATTTTTACAGGCGGTGAAAACGGCGGAACACCCAGCTGGATATTTGCTATCATTGCCGTGGTCGTGCTTATTCTCATAGTTGGAATTATAATTATTATCATAATAATGAAAAAAAGGTGAGACTATCATACAAAAATGCATAAACAAGCTCATAATGTTTAAACTGTATTTTAACATTACCAGAGTCTTCGTTTCACTCTTTTCCGCCTTTTCAAACGATTTAGCTCACCAGAAAATATATCAATTTTTTTTACTTTGCTCATTTATTTTATTTGACATAAGTTGTCTCAAATAAATTGCTTGCTATCACGAGTATTTAACAGAGTAATTATGTTTAAAGTCGTTATGAAAATTTATTAATGAAGATTTCATAATTGATCAATTTAGAAAAAACAATCAAGCAACGAAGACCGAAGTTCAGCCGTCTGGATTTGACAATCCTGTTCCACCGACACCGAACATGTAAGTTCGTCACATAAAATAGTGAAAGGAGGTAATACCATCGACAAACGATGGTCATTGTTAACGATTCCCGGTGAAGCCTTTTTCATATGAACCTTAGAGAACCACTTCGTGGTCGCCTAGAGCGGGGGTCACCAAACTACGGCCCGCGACGCCATTTTATCCGGCCCGCGGCGTCATTTTATCCGGTCCGCAATAACACGCAAAAATGGCTAATTTTTTTTCCACTGTAATCCCTCGCGTACTGCTCCAATTTCAAAAGCCACACTAACTTTTGTACTGCTTTAATACGGATATTCATGTAGGTATGTTACAAAAAAATTGAAGTTCATCCGATTTAAATAAAAACTGCTCCAGTGGAAAGATCTGAGTAAAAATAGAAAACAATACCAAGTTTGGAATAAACGGTCAAGAAATAACGGAGATATCGGAATTTTAGTACCGCCCGACAGCCAATTTTTTCCATAATGATTGTATTACTTTTTTGATAAGAACTGTACTAAATATGGAAAAATAACACATATCAATCACTAATCTTTCGATGTGCGTCACATCTATGGTATATTGAGATAATTTCAGGATTTTATTCTGGCAACGGTCATTGACACCGCCGAAAGATCGTCGCAAATAAACGCTGGAGTTGTGCATGATAGTTTGACAGTGGTTCATTGTGGGTAATAATTAACGATGTTCTGATTGTACGATCTTCATAAAAATTGGTAAGTATCAAGTTAGACAAGAAATACACACGCCCATATAAATAACTACGTATAACTGGGGCGTAATTTTTAAAAGCGTCGAATGTTGGGAAATTTATGCGCTAACGAAAAAATTCAAATACCAGACAATAGTTGTTTATTTTATCTAAATTATGTCAAAATTTCATAGAATTCCAAGCTACAGCAGGCAGTCGTTTTTATGAGCGGTATTTCAACACGGCGTAACGGTACTTAGCAGACGTGATGCGTACATTTTTTGCCGCGGATTTTGTAACATTTCTAATTCATGACAGCAACGTTTTGATAACAGCTAAACTCAGGATAGTTGTCTAGATATAGAAATCTTGTTAATTTTTTTTTCTAGGATGTTCTCGATCTATAATCTGCGATATTCCCAACATTTGTGAATTTATTGTATTGCATTGACAAAAATATTCATCCGGCCCGTTTCAACACAATTTGAGTCATACCCGGCCCGCGGTCAAAAAAGTTTGGTGACCCCTGGCCTAGAGGGCCGAAAGATCAGTTTTAAGAAACGGTGGTTTTGATCCAAAAAAATAACATTTATTATATTAAAACTCGTTTTTGGTTCAATGCGGATTCTACCTACAGTTATGTCAATAAAAGTATATTTATTATGATGGACTACCTATTTTTAAGCATACTATGATTTTACCAGGATACAGAGTGTTGGTTGCGAAAGTTTAGAAATATTGTAGCTGCCCTTATTCACCATGTAAAAAGAAACTTCTTCCGTAAGGCTATCTTCTTTATTTCATGTACAGTGCTTCACATGCCAGCAACGATGCCCCAAGAGCCCCGCCAGCTGTACAGCCACGAAGACCAACTGCTAATGAAGTACATATAGAAGAAGGTATTGTAACTTCCGTGATAAAAGATGTCAAATGAATTTTTTTTTAATATTGTGGAGTTATATCGCCCCTCATAGCAATTCGAAAACTATAATATAAGTAATAGACGTCTAGCGGCTTCGGACATCTTTAAAGTTTTTGTGGTCAAAATTTGATTTTCTTGGGGTTAGTAGCTGAAGTCGGAGTCCAATTTTTTCACATCCCAGAGTCAGGAACCTTGACTCAAATCAGATGGGTTAACTCATTCCTTCCCTTTATATTCAGGACAAGACGCTTATGTGAACTATGTGCCGAAAAAAGCTGAAAGAAAAACAGAAACATCAATTTCTATTTCTGACTTGGAGAAGATTTACAACTCTATGAAGGCCAGAGAAAACAGACTGTTTTTGGAGCAATTTCAGGTAAATATAACTGAAACAAATTATCGGCGTGGATGACAAAATGTAAAAAATTACATTATCAAATAGCAATAGACAAATTCGTTCTGAGCGCATCCTTTAAAGTTTTAGTCTTCATACATACATTGTGACAAAAATCCAAATTTTATTTTTGCTTTAACGCCCATGAATGCTTCAGACAATGTTAAGATATTCACAGCCTCGCACGTCACGTACATTTCCTTCCTATTTTGTGGCCTAATATGGCGTCACGAATTGGCATTATTGAGTCACAATTTTATTTTTCATTTTTAGCAACGACGCCATCTCATAAGCACTGCATTGTGATCTTACAATGAAATTCCATTTCCTCCTTTGCCTAACTACGTTGGCTATATTTTTCATAAAACCCGTTTAAATCTTTATCTAGTGTATTTATTCATCTTTATACAGCTAGTGAGCCGAATGTTTATCTTCTATGAGCTATCTCATATATTGGTACTGGTTGGTTACCTGGGAAAGCAACGCTCATCAATAATAACAATGCTCTGACAATCAATATTTTTCAACCTCACACCTCTTTTTTTTTAATATTTGAACCCTGAGTGTCGCTGCTTGATAATACCCAGCTTTTGTTTGTTTCGGCTCCCCCTTCTCTGGTTAATTGTGTGTTTACACTTTTTTTAATTTTGCATAAGATTTTACTAAATAGAAAAAATAAATTGACCATAACTATAATTATAAATGTTAACAATTATTTGCAGAAACTTCTCCAAGAGGCAGCAAGATATGGCGGAACAAAAAAGTTTGCGTCCAATGAGGCTTTGAGGAAGAAAAATCGATATAAAAATATACTGCCATGTAAGTGCAATTACTTTCATCAACCTTGTTACATTTTATGTAAATTAAAGGCTTCCGTAGTATGTGGACCAAGATGGCGCACAACCTGAACCCTAACCTGGTATACAGACTATGTTTAGGTTGTGCGATTAAACCGAATTAAACGATTTAATTTCCACGGCAACAAGATCATCATCAAAATAAGTGTTAAAATTTTTGATTTTTGGTAGGCTATATGCTGAGATGGAATTCAGGGTTTTGCGCTGGTTCTCGCAAACGCATTTCAAAGTTTCATGATATCAGCGCACCCGTTCTTGTTTTTTTTTCTTGTTTTAGTCTAGTGGTTCCCAACCTTTTATGGCGCGTGGCCCCTCTCAGGAGGAGTTCACCACTCATGGCCCCCTGTTTATCATTTCAGTGGTATTCATAGTATTATTTTGATTGTTCGAATTCAAATCCCATCAGGTTCAGATAGTTCATGCTCAACAAAGTGAAAACACTTTGTAAAATACCATATCAAGCAATGAAACCAGGGCGAACTGAGAGTTTGCTTATGAAGGGAGAAGTGATATCAGTTTTGCGCCTAGCATTTCCCCCCTCTCCAATCCAACTGATCTGCGGTCCCCTTGGTGGGCCATGGGCCCCCGGGTTGTGGACCGCTGTTTTAGACATTAAACGATCCAAGAAATAGGTTACGTAGGCCGCAAATGACGACTTGCGATGCAATTGGTAATTCGAAAGTTATGTATGAGTTTCATGTCAATGCATCCTACATAGATATTTATAAATATACTTTATGAAATATTTATTGTTGACATTGCATAAAAGTCAGAGAGTGTGAAAGTTCGTGGTCAGCAATATGTTTTTTGCATTTAGTTAGAGAGTTCAGCGATAGGTTCAAAACATATTCAATAACAAAAGCGCCTTACTCACGTAACTTCCCTGTTTCCTGTAATGTGTTTGTTGTGTGAAAGTAAATGACTCTTGAAGCAAGCCAGAAAAATTGGAACCGACTTTTATTAGTCCTATAGTATTCTTCCGTCGGACTTTACAAAATCAAGTGGTGAACGGAATATGCGAATGTTATTTAAATCCATTTTGATTTGGATACCAATGCTATAATTCCGGCATTTTATCAAAATCAGCGGTTACGAACCTGAACCCGTGGCCCAACAAGAAGGCACAGAGCAGTTGGTGGAGACCGCAACGTTGGACGCAAAAATAATTATACTTCTCTCTTTAAAAAAAACTCCCCGTTCTTCTTAGTTCGATCGCTTGATACGGTTATTTCACTGGGTATTTTCACTTTGTTGAGCATGAATTGTTTGAACATACTGGGATTTGGAATCAAATATTTAAAATCAAACTATATATACCACTGGAATGATAAACAGTGGGAGACGAATCATGGATGCTTAAAGCCTCCGGAAAGAGGCCGCGAGTCATAAAATGTTAGTAATTACTGTAAAGTCAGAGGTTCTACAGGTCCTATTTCTACTTATTGGCCGGTGTTGTAAATATCATTCAGTAGCTAACCCTTGACACAGCAGTAACGCACACACAAACACATCCACTTTGTAATGAAAGTATAAGTACACTATATAAATGTCACAATCTAATAAAATTTCAATCAGATAAAAATTCCACAATAGAAAAAAGTTCCACAGCAAGTATCATTGCTGTTTAATACAGTAAATAATGTGTACATTATATTAAATGTGATGTGTATGATGATGTTTTTACAGTGTGTGGTTACAATATAATTGTGTCTCCAGCCCAACAACAGGACTTAAATTTAGGTGCAAGACACAAAAACAATCAAATATTATAATCTGCCCCTGATATACAACTCAACTAGAACCTAAATAACTCTAAACTACAAATTTCCCTAAATATCATAAGCAACAATTTGCAAATTTATGCCACAAAGTAACTGTAGCATTTAGTCAGCATATAAAAAAGAAACTTCTGTCGCCAGAGGGCCTCGGTGCTCTGCCTCCGACACCAACAAATTGGACATCAAGTATGACACAATAATATTAACAAGCGCATGAATGTAAAACAGCTGTTATAAGAGAGTATTGCACCAATATTGACAAAAACTTCACACTTTTTCCCGGTCTGATGCTCTTAACATAAACAAATAAATAAATAAACGAGAGCAAGTCTCAAGACCAGAATAAAAAAATTTTACCTGTAACAAACACTGTTTGTTAAAAAATACTCAGCAGACATTACCATTAACGCAATAGGAGGCTTATGGAGGCTGACGCTATAGTAAAAGTTTTTGGTCGGTTGGATCGCACCCGGCTAAGTAATATTTTCGAAAAAAAAATTTATATTCTTACAAAAGTTTTTCGAATTTTTTTTTGAACTAACAAACAAAACTTATTTACTTTTGATTCATTTGGTTAGCCACGCAAAAAAGTTTTTGACAACACGATTCATTCCGATTCAAGTTTTAAAGAATAAGTTCTATCATTTTCTGTTTAGTTGATGATACCCGAGTTCCGTTAACCGGGGCGAAATCTGGCTACATCAACGCCTGTTTCATAAATGTAAGTTATTTCTGTCGGTCTGCTTTCTTTAGTATTATTTGTACAACCTAGTCAGGAACTTTTTTTTTCGTAACCTCGTCTGTAAAACGGTACTACTGTATATACAATCTAAAATACATTAAAATAGAGATTGTTCATAAATTTCTATACTTGAAGAAAATTTGAAAACCTTTTTTTTATTTGAATTGCATATTCGTTTTTTGTGTAAAAACATTCGTCGAATATTTGGCTTAAACCCTGAATAGTAACTTTAAGTGATACTTTATAAAATAGGTATCTAAAATCAAAGGCACGTAGTCACTTTTTTGAAAGTCAAAAAACAATGTGCAGCACGGGACTCTTCACCCCAATTCAAAGTTACGTAAAAAACATGATTATGAAAACACAATGAAACAAAATGTGAATAAATCCATACGTTTGATCCAAATTTAATCTACGAAACAACTTCATCTTGTTACAACAATCTTACGTCTTTTCACAGGGCCACAACGTACGACACAAATACATTGCAACACAAGGGCCTCTGCCCGATACCGTTGGTGACTTTTGGCAGATGGTATTAGAGCAACAAAGTAAAGTAATCGTCATGTTGGCAAAGGAGATCGAAGCAGGAAAAGTGGGTTCATAAAGTTTTTGATATTTATCTAAATGGACTTCAATCCGGGTTGGACCTATGGACCTATATTTGATCAATGTTTTCTTGTATTTAATATTAAGAGATAACCGTTGACTAAAAGAAGAGCCCACGCGATTTGCAAATATGCAAAAAGATAATAAAATAAAAACAAATGTTCTGACGTATTTGAATAAAAAAGGGCGCAAAGATTTGAATATCTGGTGCACATAAGAACAATGAACACGTACATACCAGCGTTGCATTTTCTATTTTTTGCTTTGACGTTCGGGGACCTTTAGTAACCATTGAGTAAAATTCCATTGTCATTTGATATGCAAAATAATTTATTTTTTAGAAAAAATGCCAAAAGTACTGGCCTGACGCCGGGAAAAAGCTACCGATAGGAGACATAGTAATTGAAAATGCACAAGAAGTCAATTACAGTGCTTTCATGAGACGGGTTCTCGTTGTGAAATCAAAGCAGGTAGATAAGAGCAAATACTGAATAAGACCTTGTACACGGCCTAGGCGGTCAATTGTGCTTTGGGCAATAATCCTGTTATATACACTTTAGATTTTTTACATTCACCATTGCTAGAGTGTGAACCAATTATAAGATATCGTGATATCGTAATAAAAAACAAATCATTGAATAGAGAATCACCTAATTACAAAATATTCATATCTAAAACTAGCAGAAAATGTACGCGTCCAATTGTGAAAATCACAGTACACAATGTTAAAATATATGTCAACTTTTGAATGCTTGTGTCTTGGTTGCATCTTCCAAAAATGATTGGAAAAGAACTTTATAAATTTATATTAAAATTGGGAACTAAATAAATATTCCGAAATTACCAATCTCCAATTTAAATTATTTAGTTTTTGCCAATGTTAATTCAAATTGGGGTCCCTGTTAATCATGTCCTTTAAATAAATAAATTTGATTTGATTGCACTTTTTGCCCAATGCAAGTAGTGTCCTTGACGCGTTAAAGAAAACGTTAGTTTTTCGAACGGTACTATCAACTACTACTATATCCAAACAAAATATACCAAAAAAATTCTGTGTTCTTTCAGTAGCAATAAGAGTGTATCAATTTATTTAATTTATTTTTCAGAATAACAAAAGCTTGACCGTATACCAATATCAATTCCTTAAATGGCCTGATCATGGGGCTCCTCAGACAACATCGAACTTGCTCAGAATGCATCAAGCGGTCTTGAAAAGTTGTCAAGAACTAGAAAATGATTCTCCCATCGTTGTACACTGCAGGTAGATATTTGTGAACAGTTAAATGCCGTTTTTCTTGAAAAAAGGAATGGGTCTTATTTCAATTTATTTTGTAAAATAACACTAGGGCTTACTTTGGGGAAATGTCTATTATTTTCATTTATCAAAATGAAAGTTGAAAATTACAAGAATTACGAATCTACAAAATTTGAAAACCGTTATCCTTTTACTTATGAATAACACGTTTTTATTTAAAATAACTGCTAAACATAGAATCCTGATCATTTTTAACGAGTAAGAAATATTTCTTGCTGTCGACTAGAGCTTATATTGAAATCATTTTCAAAATTTGGAGTAGGTCTTATTTCCGGAGAAACAAAGTAGTATCACCCCATGCGTGTGCAGTATGAAAGTATTTGGCGCTTTTAAAATTTGAATATTTTGCGCCAGACAATTGAAACAAACTTCGAATATACTTATAATATTCTACCGGTGGACAAAATCGAGCAGTGAAGGGTTCGAAATCAATGTCATAATTGCGGCATATCCACGTGTAATTTATCCAATCTATCCAGAGCAGAGCCACGTCCGAAGCATACAGATTTATTATCGCAACAAAATATTACCAAACAATAAATATTGGTTAACGCAAAACTACTTTGTGGCAAATTTATTTGAAATATTTTCGTTGACTAGCGGAGATTTTATTAGAATTAGGCAAGACAGCAATGCCCAAATATATGGACAACAAAGTCCTATAACAAATCTATAGTTCCATGCAATTCGCACAAAAATGTGGCTGAGCAGCGACTCCGCAAAATCGAAATGACAGACAATTGTGATATAATGAAAACGGTGTTTTCGTGAGTTTGAATAAAACAGCAAAATTTGGTTAAAATATCGGATCTCATAAGACTCTCATAAAAAAACGCAAAAAATGTGAAAAATAAAAGATGAAAGTAATAGTCTTCTGGTGACCAATTCCATCTTTAAGTACTTAAAATTAGAAATCGATTGGACCATTATTCACGAGAAAAACAGTTTTTTTTCGATCAAAACATCGTCTCAACAACAAAACTAAAAACAAGAACAACTATTTAGAAAAATGATCCAAATTGCCACTTCTTATCTAAAATGAGACTTACACTTACTCACTTTTGTAATAGATCGACCTATCGAGGTAAAGAGAAGTCATTTGCAACACGAGGAAGTACTAACAATGCTTCTATTTTAGTCTAGTTTTTTATGCGTCATCGAAACACAATTCCATGAAAACTGCCGAATGCGCGACTTAATACATATCCATTCAGTTATGTAAAATTCATGGCTTCTGACTGATGGCTGACGTAAATCCGGACGCGAACAATTTGGTGAAAGGCAGTGGCATAAGTTTAATAATGAAATCTAAAACGTAAATTTTTTGAAAAGTAATTTTGCGGCATTTGAAGTAAGGCACAATAATTTTATTTCAATTTTCCTTATTTTAGTTCTATTACGAGTTCGGGTTCTAGCCAAGTGACTCCCGTAGTATTTGTACCTGAAATTATGGTCTGACCCGAACCTGGTACACATACTACGTTCTGGTGTCCGCCATATTGGTCCACATACTTCTGGAGTACCAGAATATTCACGTTTTTTTACCACAAATTTTCACTATTTGTGAGTAATTCATTGCTGAAACAACGTACTTACTTTTTGCTTAACATCAATCTTTTATCCGAATGAATCAACCAAAATAGATGAAATTGCCCGTTTTTATAGTGTGAATATCGAAGTAAGACTGTGAAGGATCTCTATAAGATATTCTCAGATATCAGTGACTGTTTGTATATGTCCTTGTTCATAGCAAAAAGCCTCATTACAACCCCCTCCTCCCCTCGCTATTTTGGGCGTGCCACACCCCTGGGCAGAGGTTCGTCGGAGGATGATGAAGATTTATTCTCGCCCTGTATGAAATGTAAACGTAGTCGAGACAATACAATTGTTTAAAACAATAACTTAAATCTGTTGTGGAAATTCACAAATTTCGTTGACTTTCATGCACTCGATCTAAGTTGGCACACAGGGTCCTGGTCTTCCTCGCTCGTCATAAATTTGAAAAATCCTATGCTATCCTCATTGGACACAAGGCAGTTCGGAAATATGATTCATTCACTAAGTTGTTGTTGTCGTCGTCGCCACTGCCGATGTTGTTATTCTCGTTGGTGTTGTTGGTATTTTTGTAGGTGTTGTTGCTTTTACTGTAGTTGTTGTTGTTGTTGTTGTTGTTGTTGTTTTTTTGTTGTTGCTGTTTTTGTTGTTGTTGTTGTTTGTTGTTGTTGCTGTTGTTGTTGTTGTTGTCGAGGAAAGTAGATTTTCTTATCAAAATCGACCAATTGGTTTCAAATTTCAGTCCTTAACTATGATTGATGGTGATGGAATGGTATTACTTGTATTTCAAATTTGCGGTTAGGTCTATGAGCGCCGATATCAACAGAAATATTGCTGTTTTAATTTCACTCAAAAAAACTCTTTTATCTCCGCCATGCCTGACCCACTCCGTCACGATCGTCCACAGACCTTTCATCAAACTTGGTGCTTTCCCGTTGATGCAGCATTGCTCGGTTTTGATACATATATTCGAAGATTAGTCCACTTTTTTGAGTGCGTATCGTGAATCCTAACTCTATCTAATTTATTTATATTTTAGTGCTGGATCTGGACGAACCGGAACCTTTATTGGATACGACATTCTACTCGATGAAAGTAATTCCAAGCGATCAATTGACGTGTTTTCTTGCGTTCTCAACATGAGAAGGCAAAGAGTTGAAATGGTGCAAACTGCTGTAAGTTAGTAAATGAAATCTACGACGAACGTGTTGATATGTAATCAATTTGCTACAATGTTTTTTTAGTGCAAACGATATATTCAAACCGGAATGAATTTCGGTCACTGAGCACATTTCTGCAAACAACTAGACAAAGCCAAAATGAATTATGTATGATTGGACCTGAAAGTTTTGGTTTGCACAAAATTTCTCTCTACAATATGTTCCGAATGACCTAAATTCTATTTATAGAAGGAACTGTAATTTATATATAATACTAGTTACTATACTAGTATAATTATACTATAATTTTCTAACCAAACAGAGGACCGTTGGATTCTTATTTTTTCCAAAATACAATTATTTTACTACTATTTTGGAAACGTATTATACCTGTCTGTTTTGCATAATTGTTATTGTTTTAATTGATATCGTTGCTGTTTGAGGTTTTGTTGATGTCATAATATTTTCGTGAAACAGTCAATTTCAAATTTTCAGTACTTAAATCCAAATTTGCTTTGTTTTAATTCATGTGGACACTTTTTAAGGATTTTGGAAACTTTTTACCCCGTCACACCCATGCTCAACTGGAGCTGTACTGGTACAGTACCACGTAATAAATCAGTCAGAATTTCCTCCACTTTCCAAATACATGTCGTTTAACTAACTGAAATGTTAGGTATCTGCAATCACAATCTGAACGGGTAACCGGAAGAGAGACGTTAATTCGCCGCTTGAAAAAGTCGTCTTATATAACTTCATCTTTGCCGGGATTCATTTGAAATTATGTCGAAATTATTTAATGTTGGACAAGAAATGTACATATAGAACGTTTTGTTGTTATTATTCGAAACTAATGGACTCGAGTTTGAGGCTGGCTTTGGGATTTCAGAATGCTAGTTTGAATTCGTTTACCATTATATTTATATTATCTGATTGTTTATTTCAGGATCAATATATCATTCTTCACAAACTTGTCTTGGAAACAAGTCTGTTTGGTGACAAAGACTTATCTACTGATGAAGCAAAGAATAAGTTAGAAATGATGAAAAGGTAAATTCTATATTTATGTATTACAAAACAATACAGGCAAGCAACTACAATTCAACAAGAAGCCAAAGATTTGCATCGTCCTATGCAAATATGTCTAAATATAACATTACGCTGACTGTGCTATATTCAAAATCCATTCGTTACAGTTTCGTTGAACATATTCATTCATCTATTTTGTTAAGATATAAAAAGGCTACCAAATTTACATGAAATCATTGCGTGATAGTTTTTGCATTTTATGTATTGTTTCAGAATTGCTTTCAATAAAATTTTGCATTTTCTATTGAATACGCACCATTTGAGTAAGATATAATAATATACCTCAATTTAAAATGTATTATGCTTTTGTCAAAAATATTCATCTCTTTTGCTAAGAGATAAAAATACTACCAAATTTGCATAAAAACATTGAGTAATAGTATGTGCATTTTATTGTATTGTTTTAAAGATTGCTTTTAATTTTGCATTTATGGCTCCTTCTGAATAAGATATATATTTCGATTCAAAATATATTATGCTCTTCTAAGATAATCAAAAATATAAAATTTCTAAAAATCTATTTTTGACTGACGAATAAAATACCTTCCACGAAATACAATGAAGCGGATTATCAATGTAAGAACTGTTCTGAACAGGAATTCCAAATTTCAATAAGAGCAATTCCCTTACCAACAAAAAGCGATTGTTCCATGACAACTTGAAGAAAAATACCAAAGAGAACAAGAACAACAACATAATAGCAAAACGATACATAGGTCCATTTCGTGCCCAAAAATGATAAAAATGAATAAATAGGATCACAAATATTTCATACTATATTATTATTATAATTTACTTTAATATATTATTTGGTTTGAAGTTCTGGCAACGCTCAATCAAGTTTGAGAAAAGAATTCGATGATCTCAGCAGAATACATCCGATGAAAGATTCAAAACTGACTGGGAACGAGCATAAGAAAACGAACCGATCGATGAATATAGTTCCGTGTAAGTTAATAGGATATATTCTAACCAAGCATCTTATCATTTTTCAAGTGAGTTACAGCTTCCCCGTTTGCATTAGTTTTTAATCGTTGTGTGCTGAAATTTCGGCACTTACACCCCAGTCATTTAGCTTGATGAAACAACTATAATGGCGAGGTCGCTAAAAATTGAATAATGCTTCCGAACTAAAACTTGGTTTTATATTGCCAAATAATAAGATTCATTATTTAAACTTTTTCAATTTAATTGAGACCATGTTTCAGCTACTTTATGAAATAAATATTTCATCAAGGAACGCTTAACAAAAGTCCAACCAAGTGTTTCTGAGTCTTTGCTTTTGTGAACGGAAGTTTAATGAAAAAGCTCAAAAAAATAGGTTTCTGTCATCACTATTATGACGATAAACAAGTCGAAGATAATAAATTTCATAGAATAACAGTCAAACAGAAAAAAGAATGGTTCAAACTGTTCTTCGATAAGTTATTTATCTGTGATCAGAAGTGTGAACCAAAAGTGTGAATTGAACAAAATTCTATGGCAGTAGAATCGACATCTCTGACTTGTAAAAATTAAAATTAGAAACGTTGCTTAGAAGCGGGGACGTAGCCAGAAAAACGTGGACTTTCAAGATTCTTGACTCTCTAAAATGCGTTTCAAGCTACGAAAATTAGTATGTATGGTACAGAAAAATGCTTTCAGAGGATGAGTCCGAACCCTGGGTACGCCCAGCTTGAGAGAACTTTTCATTCAGCTTGCTGTAAGCCAATCTTCCATGCTCGTGTCTTAGCAACGAGGAAGCGTTTGAAATGTTTGAAATAACGGTTCATTTAGAGAAATTTTAATGTTTTACAGATGACTACTCTCTAGTAAAACTTGCAATGGAAGCTGGTGAAACGAAACTGCCATTTGTGAATGCTTCCTGGGTTGAGGTAAGTACTCCGTGAATATTTGGACACGAAATGAATATAAAGATTGCTTTGCTGCCTTTTTGTTATTGTTTATAATGGGCTTGTTGTTGGAGTGAAAATAATTAATTTCCGACAAATAATGAAGCAATCGAATTGCAATTTTTCATAGGATGATGGAGTCTTCAGAAAGGTTTTTTCCTTTATTTATGTCCACGAAGTGCATCCCGTTGTGCTGTTTTCATAATTGACGAAGCCCATGCTCATGATATCAGATACAAATCATTTAATATAAAGTTACTGACATTACGGTAACCATTTCTTGTTCATAAATTCAGACAGTTCACTTTGGTTTTAATCATATGTGTTAAGAGAATTGGAATTTTAATCTTCTATGCAAATTTTGTGAAATAGTTCCATGTCACATTAACTTAAATATAGAAACAACTAATTTTAATTCTCATTATTATATTGCAAAATTGTCATGCCTATTTTTTCTCGTGCAGAGTTATGACGAGTCGAGTCCAATGATCGCATCCCAAGGCCCAACTTCATCAAACATTGATTTATTCTGGAGATCGATTCTAGATAACAACGTGAATACCATCGTTATGTTGACGGAACTGAAAGAAGGGCGTGAGGTATTGATTTGCATTATATAGTCTGGAAATTCCCATGCATTCTTTTTTTTTGTTTCTTGAGAAAAATTTGTTCCAAAAATACAAATTCAAATTCAAGTGAAATATTAGTCATATTTGCAGGAAAAGACCACAGCTCATTTTCCCCAAAAATGGCAAATTTGACGACTGAAATGAACCGCGATTTTAAAAATTCCGCATTAGAATTAGGAATACCAGTATTTGAACTAAGTCATATTTTCTAGTGAATAAATTTTCAATAAACGACGATATTCTGTAAATATTCCATTCCTTTTATTTGTTTTCATCATTTGAACTGTTATTTTAGGAACAATGCGCGCAGTACTGGCCGTCAAGTGCTGGGGAAGAATTGAAACTGCAAAACATGAAAGTAACTCTCGCCGCAGAAGACACTGACGCGATTGCTGTAACAAGAAAATTGAAGATAGATCGGGGAATACAATCGGTATGAGCAGATTCTCCCTATCTCTCTCTCTCTTTATTTATATATATATATTAGCAACTTAGGTGCCGCTGCTAGATAACCAACATTGGTTCCCCACGGCTTCCCTTCTTCAGTAAAATTATGTTCTTGACCTTTTCGCATATTTTTTGCATTGTATCTGTTTATAATTTTACTGGTTGGAAAAAATAAAGTTGACTATGACTATGACTATAGCATCGGAGCTTAATATCATATTTTTTTATTTTCAGAGATCTGTGACCCAGTTTCATTACACCGGATGGAGATCAACAAGTTGCCCTGAAGATGCCAGAGGAATAATCGATCTTGTGAGTAAAATGCAGAAGAATATTCGATCCACTGGAAATGGAGCAGCCCTGATACATTGCAGGTAAACCGACGTAATCATTGGGGTCATACCGTGTAACAAACTCATCCACCTCACCAAGCTCATCTGCTCGGCGTTTGGCGCATCGTGATCAGCGTTAATAATATTAACCCTGGTTACCCCATGGGGATGCGAACATTTGAATTCGGTGAGAAATAATTATGTGCAAAACATTGCTGACTTCTCGCCGTCGTAGGATGGTTCAAGTAACCACTGGTAGTTCATGGATCCTCCACCTTCAGGTCCGAGCATCTATTTCCATAAGGACAATGGTAACCGGGCGAGAGGTCGTGGTTCTAATTATTAATTCTTGTTATTAATTCCTATTCTAATTAATTCTAATTATTAATTTTCCTCTCCCCGGGATAAATATGAAAATCTGATTTATCCTGATTTCACAAGATATTTATGTCGAATGTAAAGATTTGCACTTTTCAAAATCTATTATGTCTCTCAATGTCACTTGTATAAAGTCATGTTTTCAATACACTTGTATTTTTTGTCTGTCATGAACAGATGTGGAGACGGAGCGATATTCCTATTTGCGACCTTTTCGGAGTCGGGGAGTCAAAGTTCTGATTTCCCCGATAGGTCTAAGCTTCCCCAATGAAACTCAACAGATCATGAAAGAAGGCTTGCATGTGTCAAAGCTTTTGTTATAAAAATTTGAATTAATTCAGAAATGGAATCGTAGCCGAATTTTTATGCCCAGAGGTCGGAGCCAAAATGTTTTCAGCCTGGTGTCGATTGTAGACTTTCTCAAACTTCACGACCCTGACATTAGGATTAAGCTATTTTCACAATTATCAGTTTTATACTTGTTATTTAAACATAGTTCTATTTTTCAGCAACGGTATCGGTAGAACTGGTGTATTCTGTGCAGCAGTGAATCTGATAGATCGATTGAAATGTGAGAATCGAGTTGATGTTTTCAGAACTGTGAAAGATCTCAGAGATGGAAGACCAAATATGGTGGAAAGTTTGGTAAGAATAATGAAAATAACGTAGTATTGAATAAAAATGAACTCTCGGTAGTCACGTTTATGAAAGATACGAATATAGGCCTACGGTATCCCCAGGGCTTGATTAACCATTGAGCAAAATAAGCACGTCCATGGGGCACCAAAAAAAAATTTCAAAGACGAATTTTCAGTGATACATCGGTGTTTAATAAAATAATTCAAGTTGGTCAGACGATCGAGTACTTAGTATTGGCCCAGCTGATATAAATTGTTGCTTATTTTTTTCTCATAACTTAGATTAGTATTCAATACTGAAAACTACTTGACGTATTCAATTTCAGATAACATTGAACATATTTCATTATTAATAATATTAGATATACAGAGAGGACACCAAAGTCTTAGGTGTTTAGGGCATCTATAAGACATGATCAGGCCCTGGGTATAACTTCCAAGTCAATCTCTTTCCCACACGTATTCAAACTCTGCGCCCAAACTAAAATCATTGAGCTCAATGCTGTTGCCCAAAACAACTCCTTCAGTTTGAAGGTAAATATTTTTTGGGAAACTAGTTTTCCAAATACATATGAACCTCGTCCTAACATTTTTAAAGATGACTCCGAATTAAAAACAGTACACTAAATTTGCTTATTTTATTTCAGGATCAATACAAGTTCTGCTATCAAGCAATCATCGAATATCTGAGATCCTTCGATCTTTATTCAAACTTCTAAACGTCGCATCGTTTGAATGGGACGGCATGTAATCACTGGACTTACTTATTGATTCTCAAATTTTTCAAGCTTCGCCCCATTTTTAGAACTTGAAAAGTCTTTACGTACATCTCAAAAATAACTAGATGATAATAAGCTACAAATAAGATATAGAAAAGCGAAAGTATGTTTTATTCAGAAACAGGTTGAAAATACGTGAATGGAACGTAAATAATGATATACGAGAAAAATTTTGAAAACAAGCAAAATTTGTTGTAATTTATATTAGTGCAGTTGTTTTGAAAAATAAAAAATAAAAATAAAAAAATAATAAAAGGGACGTCAAAATATAACCTCCGACGTCAACTTATGCTTTAATATTCCAAAAGACCAGGTATTCTCATCTAAATATGTTGTGTTTGTACCTTCTTAAAACATACTAAATGCATAATTCTGTACCATTAATCAGATTTTTATTATGTTTTGTTGTGAATAACTGTACTATGTAGCGTTAGTAAACTAACCACTGCCTTTTCCATAACGTTAGATTTTTGTATTCATGTCTGACTGTAAATCTTATGCTATGCCTTTGTTTACTTGCCACTGTTAAAAATATAACTAGACTATGCATTGTCAAAATTTTATGCAACTTTATGCATCGTATAAACTAAGTTATTTTGCTTCTACTACTCTACTTAGATAAGAAAATGTTTGATGTTGATTGTATTAACAAGTTGTAGAGTGTTTGAATTATTTTCGGAATTATTAGTTCAGATATTCTTGATCTTACTAAATATTGTTTTTATTGAAATGCAATATGGTTGCACAGTATATACTATGTACTATATTTAATCAATGCTCAGTTCGTATTTTCCTAGCTTTTTACCCCATGATGCGCACATAAAAAATAAGCAAAAATTAGTTTTGGGTTTCATTAGTGAAAAAAATATTTATTTACCCTGAATTATGTTTAATGTTATTGCGTGCTTCATGGACATCTTATAGGACATAAGACATCTTCAGGTGTCAAAATGAAACAGATATGAATTAGGTATACAAAATATTATTTTCTGGAATATCATGGCACCAACTCAAATAACCTTCCAAAAGATACTCTTAGGTATTGTATTGTGTCAAAACAATTTCCTTATTTTCAAATATATTGAAAATAATATTATTTAAAAGCAATATTATACGTAATATATATTATATAATTGGTTCAAGAGTAAAATTTCTATCCAAAAAAGTTTCGAATTTCGTACCAAAAAAAAATTAATTAGATACAATTAAAACTGGACAACAACAATATGATTATATATGGTCACCAGAATGATCATGTCCATGAAACAAATACCTGGTTATCTACTCCCGTACCCGATATGATCTGGTAACCGACTGAAAGGCCGTAAACTGCCACATGACTGAGATCTTTCATCACTTTGCCTCTCCCCTGGGAAAAATCAACCAATTGCATCTTATAAATCAAGTTAATTTGCTTACTCTACTCTACTTATATGAGAAAATGTTTGATGTTAATTGTATCAATATGTCGTATTTGATTTATTTTTAGAATCATTAGTTTATATATATATGCTTCATATTATCTTATGTTTTATTACAATGTAATCTGGTTGCACAGTATATTGTATATAACGTTCCAATCAATTCACAAGTATTACGGCAGTCATCAGCTGAGAGATAACCCGAAGCAGTGAGACTGTTACTGAGATAGTAAAATTCTATAGATACGTATTTTTGAAGTTCTGTCGCAAATTATCCAAGTCCAAGTTTTGTACCCGGAATAAGGTGTGAGAGTCGACATGTTACACGTTAAGATTCAAGGCCAAATTTTGCAACTGGAGTTGCAAACTTTTTTCATCTTGCATTGGAGAGTTTAAGTTGAAGTCAAACTTTTTGCCAGATACCAGAATAAGAATCCGGAGTCAACAATTTGTTTTTTTTTAATCTAGAATCTGTTTCGGATTCGCATGATTGATTAAAGAAAGATCAAAAATTCGAAGTCGTATGAACTTTTCGATTTCACAGTCTTACACGAGTCAACAGCAAAAATGTGACTCACCGATCTCCTTGCCTTTTTCACCAATATACTCGGTGGTTAAATAATGACATGAAGCTGCTCGTAATAGTAATTCTACTGAGAGAGCGCTTTAGTCTGATCAGGAAACTGTTATATAACACATACAGCTACTGTCGCTATTTCGGATATTGGGATATTGAAGGCAGATATAATACGGTAGAGCTTTGTGAGCGGAGAGTTTTAAATGTATGCCATAAATAGACTTCAGTCGACAGAGATACAACGTGACATAGAATTATTAGTACTATCAGTATATACAAACGCAGATCTCTGTTTCCACGTATCGGATCTTCAATTATAATATATATTTAGGAATTCCTTGGTCACCACATACTCCGGTATAGTCTCTAAAATTTTATTTGTTAAAAGTACACTCATTTTGTGAGCGTGGAATTTTATTTTTTATATCTAGACACCTTTTGTTTTCAGAAATAGATTTTCCGATCTGTAAGCGACATGACGCTTATAACGCCGTAGTTTGTACTCCGTAAAGAGCAGGGTGTTCATAAAGTCCATTTACAGTTATAATTTTTTTGGTATGAAGTCAGTTCTCAATATATCTTAACCAGGTTTGTGGTTTTTTTTAATCAGAATTTATTTTGAGTATTAACACTTTAGGGTTTCGGCCCTGCCATAAATGGCTGATCTGTGTCATAATTTGGGTTTATGGCTAAATTAAATGTATTTTGGGGGGTCAATAGTATTTCATAGTGGTCTGCATGTGAACAAAACCAATTTCAAAACTCAAAATGTTTGAGTTTAAATTACCCATGCTTGATCCGAGTGTTCTTAATTACGGTGATGTCATCATATTTTTTTTATGTATAATTTTTATTTTGCAACAAGGTTAATTTTATTTGTATGAGTATTTCAAAGCTTAAAAATAACCAAATAATCTATTGTTAGTTGAAAACGAAGTATTTTGAACGCGCGAGCAACGTTCTTCGGCTCATAATAAACAAACAAAGATACCAGACAGCACGCGATCAAATGCTCTTCGATAAAACGAATATCACTTCACTTACAAATCCCAGTCTTGTTTTATCTTGAAGGTGACGTATAGCTCTTCTAAAAGAGAACTCTTTCTCTCGCATATCAATCACGTGTCGACCACAGCGTTAAAAGTGAGAAACTTTTTCTCGAAATTTTTTGAATTTTCTCTCTTCTTACTGGCATATGGTCGGACGCATTTACGCTACGTAATGTGGGCGCGTTTTAGTGGAAAGCGACGAAAATAAGCTTTTCAGGGACACATTAATGGTGTCTTTGGCATTTTTGGTTGGTGAAATATTAAAAAAATTATAGAAGGGTGTCAAAATGACCCAGGAACACCAGGGGTCATTAGGTTAATACATTCGTGAAGGTCAAAACAACATATGGTATCGATAAATTGTCTTTATAATTAGGAAATTTTTAAAGAATTCATGGACACCCTATATATATATATATATATATATTAAGACAACTGCATGGTCACAGTAAGCATGTAAAGTGGAATTCATTCTATGTTCCCGGCTTAGGATAGATGTTATTCTTTAACGGGAGTTAGAGTAATAATATGAAATGGGACATCACGTTTTTTGAGACAGCCAGTGTAGAGGGAAAGATGAAAGGGGGATCAACATAAATTGATACCGATAAAATTTTACCAACGTAACATTCACCTAAATTTCATTTTTATTCAATAGGAGTAGAATGAATTTTGTGAAAAATTTCGAAATCTAAAATTAATGTCGATGGAATAGACATACTAAGTACATTTCAATATGAAGTATATCGTGGCTGTTTTGCTTCTGTGGGGCATCACTATTGCATCAGCTCAGGGTAATTGACTTTTTATAATAAAATTTGACGAATTAAAATATGTTTAAACATACTAAATTACTTACTCTCTTAAACTTTAGATCATTGTTTGCACGCTTGAAGTGGTGACTCAATAAAAGTACTTCATCTCATAAACCAAATTCTTGGAAAATTATCGACTTTGACTCTGTTGGTGTCGAAATGCAAACTTTTCCTTAGGTATAAACGAGGCCCGATTGTTTAGTCCGAAACTTGAATCACTCAGTCATTGCTCTCATACTGCATTGTAGATTTATCAGTCAATATTCCCATAGAAAATAGGAGTTTCGGTCCCTACATTATTTACAACGCAAGTCGGCTAGAGCAAAGCCACAAAAAACTCATACGTAAAAATTGAACGGGATTAAAAAGAAATCGGATTTTTATTACTTGTATTTTGTATTCTGACAACGTGTGAATTAGTTCCCCATTTGTCATAAGCAAGGGAATGTAAAAAATGCTTTCTATAATAATTTACAAAACAAAAACAAGGGTTTGCTGATATAGGTATATTTTAAGAACATATTCGTCCGAACATTCCAACTGTCACCACTGATTGTATTCGACATGCTTTGGCAATGAATCTGCAAAACTAATTTAGATTTAGATTGATATTGACAAAATACAACTAATAATATCAAGAAATTAGCTGATTTAAATTGGTGCCTTCACGATTTTTTAGATCCTTGGAAGAAAGAATCTGTTGATGGGTTTGAACTGCTTTTTTACAAACAACGTAAAACTTACAACATCGCAAAAAAAGTTATTAATTAATTAGTGATGGGACATGCGGTGTCACTATAGGGTCAGGAATTGAAACTGCAGTTTCGATCGATAAGTCATTGGTCTCCGACCGATATTCTCGTTTAGTATTTTGTGGTTTCAGGCTTTGAATATTCATTAACTATTCTGATTGTATCATCATTCCAGTACGCTGAGCTTACTCGCATATTAAAAAAATAAATCATACTTTATAGACAAATAATTCATATGTATTAATACACTAAATTCAAAAAAGTTGTTTCGAGATTTTAGGATATAATTATACGTACGTTTAATATTTAGATAAGAGCCCACGCTTCTCATAAAAACGTCATCCGCTTTTCAATATCCAAAAAACAACAACCAGTGATTTGTTGTTTGAAATATGGTCTGGGATACGATACATGATTCATTTATATTAGGTATACCATACCCATGTTATTGTATAAGAGCTTGTTGGCTGCTTCATAAGAGTAGGATGCTCTTTACTTAGATTAATGTATATTGCTATTTCTGCGATATTGGTCTGACGAAACGTTACAGAAATATATTTGAGTTAGTGTGCAACACGAACTTTGTATAATAAAGCAAAAATATTGTCATAAATTAAGCTGCACTATCTGTCGTTTTGTTGGATTTGAGCATGCTTTGGGAGGACCTCTGTCATTTTTTTGTCTAGGACAGGGGTGTGCAATCTTTATTACAGGAGGGTCAGATTTAAGTAATTAGGTGGAGCTGCGGGTCGCACTTTTTTATAGGTATAAATTCTAGTAGTTTAAAGTACAAAAAATGCTTTTGCTAGCTAGTTTTGCTAATATGACACTGGCATTCGTTTACACGTATATCTTTGCGACGCAAGGGGATTGGAATTGCTAGCACGTACCAGAATAACTAAACTAAAAACTCGTTTCGCGGGCACACCATTCACAATAAGCCCTTCTCCCCGGGCCGCACAATATTCCATTGCGGGCCGCAGTTCGCACACCCTTGGTCTAGGAAGTTAATGAACCCATTTGACACCAAACTAATTCATGAGGTTAAGATTACGTGCTTTAGTCAACATAGTAATATAGGGTGTCCATAAAGTATTACAAAATTTTGCATAGAGAATTTATCGATAACATAAATTGTTTTGGCTCTTACAGATGTATTAAATGAAGTAAAAATACTTGAAAAATTACTGATTGAAAACGATATATTGAGAACTGACCTCATAACGAAATTGAAATTGTAAAGGGATTTTATGGACACCCTGTATAATGTTGGTTTGGGGTGTTGTTATGTTATTTTATATTCTTCTGAGAAAATTTTTATTTATGTGAAATCTTCAACTGATGTGTCAATTTACTCGGTCTTTACAATCTTAACAAAGAGAGAGAATGGAAGCGATGTCTTGGCCCATTTTGCACGCCTGTCTTCTGTTCTGAGTTCTATATAAATATTAGGGAAACTACGTGGTATAAGTGAGTATGTGAATTGGAATTCATGCTATGTTCTAACTTAGGTTAGATGTAATACTTTGACGGGGATTAGAGTAATCATTATAGAGTGGGTCACCACATTTTTAAGACACCCAGTGTAGAGAAAGAGATGAAGGAGTGATCAACCTGATAGGAGATGAAATTTTATCGACTTAACTTAAATAATATTTTTATTCAATAGCAGTAAAATAAATTTTGTGAAATTTTTCAAAACCTAGTATTATTTTCAATGGAATAGACAAGTACTTTTCAAGATGAAGTATCTCGGGGCTTTTTTGCTCCTGTGGATCATCACTATTGCATCAGCTCAGGGTAAGTGACTTTTTATATAAAAATCTGATAAATCGAAATAGTTTTGAACATACTAAATTCCTCTCCGTTAAACTCCGTTAAACTCAAGAGCAGGGGTGGCCAACACGTTGATCGCGATCGGCCGGTCGATTGCGGCGTCTTGAGTAGTCGATCGCCTCGCCACGTCTGAGAATTTGGTAACATACCTCAAAATATTGCCTTGAACCAGTTTCATGCAATGTATGTTGTGTGCTTTTAAAACAAAAATAACACAGTACTGTGTGTATGTGCAAAATACGATGAGATCAGTATACACATGAAGTATTTGAACATGGGCAAGGCAGATAGAGCATATTATTACATAACAAAGTACGGTTTTTGCGCTGCCAAATTTAAGTAATTAACTTGCCGAATATCGTGTGCCTCGACTGACGAACGATCGCACAATAAATTCTGCCGTGTGCGAAAGTATTTATCTTACTCGCATTGGCATCAGAATTCCCAATTCTTTCTAATTTCAAGCGAGCAGCTTGAGCAGTCATGTAACATTTATGGTTTGGGAATATTTATTTTTTGCTGTTCAGATAATACATGAATACTCGTTTGGGCTTTTTGAAGAATTTTCAACACTTATATACGGCTAAAAATTAGGCAGGTCTTATTTCTTAAGTGTATGATTTGGATAAATCTCAAACAACTGGTGAACCATTTATTTCAAGTATAATTATATAATCAAATTAACAAATTGATTGGGACGTGAAAAATACGAATTTTTGGCGATTTCATTGAAAACGCGCTCAATGTACTGAGCTTATTGGCAGCGGCGGAATTCCTTGTATGCGTGTGTGCAACTGCATCTATCTGCATATTCAACTCATTTTTTGGTGTATGACCTTATTACTCATCAGTCGATCTCGAGCTATTTTGACGATTTTAGTTGATCGCGGTCCCAAGTAGGTTGGCCACCCCTGCTCCAGAGCATTGTTTGCACACTTGAGTTGGTTACTCAATAAAAGTATTGAATATGACTAAACCACTGTTAGTGTCAAAATGCAAACTTTTCCTTAGAGATAAAACGAGACCCCACCATATTATTTAGCCCGAAACTTGGATCACTCAGTCATTGCTCTCATACTGCATTGTAGATTTATCAGTCAATATTCTCATAGAAAATATGAATTTCGGTCCCCATATTATTTACAACGCAAGTCGGCTTTAGCGAAGCCACAAAATAACTAATACGTTAATATTTAACGAGATTAAAAAGGTGTCGGATTTTTATTACTAGTATTTTGTATTTTGACAACGTGTGAATTAGCTCCCCATTCGTCATAAGCAAGAGAATGTAAAAAATGCTTTCTATAATAATTTACAAAACAAGAACAAGGGTTCGCTAAAATCGCAATATTCTAAGAACAAGTTCGCCCGAACCTCCTGAATGTCACCACTGATTGTAGTCGACCTGCTTCGGCAATGAATCTGCTAAACTAATTTTGATTTAGATTGCAATTAACAAATATATAACTGATAATATTAAGAAATTAGCTGATTCGAATTGGTGCCTTCAAATTTCTTTTTCAGATCCTTGGAAAAAAGAATGTGTTGATGGGTTTGAACTTCGTTTTTACAAACAAAAAAAATCTTACAACAGCGCCAAATCTTTCTGTGAAGATCTCGGAGGTCACTTGGCTAAAGTTGATGATGAGAGAATAACGAATGTCATTAACTCAGCATTCCCGTAAGTTGAGATAACTATTTTGATTTTAATTTATTCAAAATGTATATTCTGGGTATCGTAAAAACAATCAGATTGGTTTTTGACTTCCTGACCTTTATTGTTGTGGTAAAATCTCATGTATAAAGAAAGTGTCACACTCACGACATTTCCAGAGATATATGAAAACCCAAACTTATCAGATATATAGGTGACCCTTATTCTCAGTCATTCTGTCTGTCTGGGTATCTGCCAGTTTATCAGCGGAGATTCCGGGCGCCGACAGGCTTGTTGTTATATATTTCTGTGTTATATAAGATGCTTTATATGCACTTTTGAACATTTTAGGTGGACAAATACTAAAACAATAATTGTGATATAAGAATTCTCAAATATTATTTCAGACTCTGCAGTCGGTATTTTACCTCAAATATTAGTCCAATTTTTAAAACCGCAATACTTTAGTCGCAAATGAAAGCAACAGGATGCTCTCCGATAAAAATGATTGAACCCAAGTTGTTCCCGAAGCTTCGGCTTCAGTATGGTTGTCTCCAATTAGTGGCTTATCAAAGGCTTATCAAATAGCGCGGATAGATCGTACCACCGTTCAACTTTCAGCTTATATTGACAAAATGGCAATAAATTTGACTCTTTTCCTTCGACTCCCGACACGGAATTCAGATTTTCGAACTCAATTTTGGCATCAAAAAGTTCCACTCCGGCTCTGAATCAAGTGAAAACACACCAAACTCCGCCTCTCCTATCCTTCTCACGACGGATAGGGGTGTGTGCAACGTAAAAACTCTGAGCTATAAGAATGCCTTTTGATTTGCCTGGTTGTTTGAGACTGTTGAATAATATTATCATATTATTGCACAATAATCTGCTCAAATGGATAAGTAATAAGTGAGACTTTTGAACCACTGACTGTCAATAAATATTAATTTATTTTGTTACGATATAAAAGCATACCTAAAAATTAGTAAATTTATCTGATATAACTATATCTATAGTATATTATTATTCAATCTTCTTAGGTGCGATTTGAATTTTGTTAAAAAATCTCAGTATTTGTATAAGAATGCATCGACACCCTCATTTTTAGATGACATTTAGATGACAGAATGCAAAAATGTGTCACAGGTTAAGGTAGATTAGGTTGGACGAGGAAAAGGTCAGGTTTTAACTGGGAATGTAAGTCTTAACTGGCGATAAAATTCGGACTTGACAGGACTTACAGCCATGTCACTCGGTACCTACATGCACCCATTATTGGTATATACGTATTAAACTTTAAATACTTTGAGGAACCCAAAACTTATTTATGTGCAGAAATGCATATACGACGCTATCAATCGTTTATTCGAGTAGTGTAATCACAATTAATTAATGTTCTTATCTGAGGAACGCAATGTACAACAATTAAAATTTTATTTATTTTTTGTTTTGGCGCCAATTCAAAATTTGATCTTTGATAAATTCTTGGGCGATTGCCGATATTTTGTCCATCTCGCCCACCATACTCTTTCTATTTTATTTAAGAGCTCCGGTATAAAAAAAAAACTAATAAAATATATATATTCTTAGAATACAAGATCAGGATAACACCTTTTACATCGGAGGAAACGACTTAGCTAAAGAAGGAGAATGGAAATGGCAAGATGGTACTGATGTGATAATGAAAGATGAAAAAGGATATAAAAACTGGTTTGTTCTTGTTCATTTCATACAATGCTTAGAGGGACCGCTTTCGTTTTTATCTCAATTGTATTGGCAATGTACGGTGATAGGCATTGGAAATCTCCTGACTAGTAAAAACGAGTTTATTGTTGATAAAAAAAAAGTAGCTGTTTAACAAAATTCTTTGGCCGAATATGAATTTAAATATTTGTAATAAATCTGTGAATTTTATAATATGCATATTAAAAATATATATAAGTTCGTAGATTTGATCTGGTATACCCAGTATTCTCACATTTCACGACGACGATTGGAAATTTTCCATCTTTCCCTTTTAAGTATTTCTAAACCTCACCTGTTTACGAAATAGTTGGTTGTAATAGCAAGCACACTAGATCATAAAACAATAATGTTTAACATGGTTAGTTTTGAATGGCTTCATTTGTTAAATTTTGAAAAAAGTAATAATTTAAGCAATAACACTGGTCTTGTTACGACATCTGAATTTATCAGGAAAAATAATCAACCAAATGGTGGGACTGGTGAAAATTGTCTGACAGTCGGTAGAGAAACGTACGAATGGATTGATGTATCTTGTGATGGAAACTTCTACTACATTTGCCAGAAAGGTGATATTACTTCATGATTGTTTGTTATAATTTCTCTTCCAATATATTCACGAATATTTATAGATATTTTTACGGATATTTACTCCCCACAGTAGTGACATAGACCGAAAACCTGCGACCCCGGTACGACCATAACCATGAAACAACCTAATCTTAATTATGCCCAAATGTCCTATGAATCCGTACGTATTTATATATTATTATTTTTAAACTCGCAGAAAGAATGTAAAACAAAATTATAACTTAAACGGTCTTGTGGTCTGAAGAATCCGCAATGTCAGGGGCTAAAAGTCTGTACACCGAGTGATATTGATAAAACAATTTTTTTATTCTACTTTACACGCTGTTTATAGTTAAGTATATAGTAGCAACATACTCTGATATTCATGGATCTCCACCCTAGGAAACTATTGTTCTTGTCGTTCTGTTGGTCTGCATGATTGTCCGTCGGCCTGTCTGTCTTTGTGTTTACCTGTACAGCGTTTAACTCTAAACAGTTGGACCGATCCGACCATTTTTCATCTCCTTGGGGAATCCTTAGAAATTTTAGTGAACGTGATTAATTATTAGCTGCAGTATACCGCCCACAAAAAGGTTTCGACGAGAAGCCCAGCGCTCAAAATGAACTGGCAGTTTCGGTATCTCGGTCACTGCAGTACATTGTTTTTGTAGGTTCAATATAGCGAGGATGTGACGGTTCACCGAAGTGCGGCGGACTTGTGTATCAGCGGAGATTCTGGGCACCCACCTGCTTGAATTAGATAAAATTGGGAATGTTCTTAGTCTTAACTAATTTCTACGCCCATGTTTCGACCATTTTTGTAATTATTGATTGAAGGGAAGATACTTTGCGTTGAGAAATAAAAGTATAAATAATAGGGATTTGGAAGAATTAGACCGAACTTTTTAAAAAAATTGTCAAGAACCAATATCTTATTGAGCTAAATTCAATTCGGTTATATTGAGATATTAGTAAATAATTACGAAAATACAATTAATTCTAATAAACCCGATCAAGCACATACGTCGCGCCAAAATCAAATTCTGTGTTAAACTTATTGGTGACTCAGGAAAGGTCAAAATAGAATTATTTGATATAAAATCCAAGTGATCAATCTATATGTTTAGTGGGTGCTCCCGAAGTATTCGTACCAAGATGGCGCACAACCTGAACATATATGTTTACCAGGTTAGGGTTGTTCAGATTGTAGGTCATCTTGGTACGAATACTTCCGGAGCACCGTTTAGTGAGCCTTTATATTTGATTTGAATAGATCGAAACCCATTCAAAGTTTTCATCTTTGCGCATACACAATCTACAGCTGATTTTAAAAATAACTATTCCTTAAATATATTGAGCATAAAAAATATGAAAGGTTAGATGCGGGATAATATCAAAATGTATTATAATATTCTGTTGGACATATCGATGTAAAATAGAAAGCATTATCACAGTTCACTATATGACGTGTTTCGTCATATATATTGAACGCCATTTCAAAATCGCTTCGTGTACCCTTTTCGTACAAATACAATCTAACACTCAATATGACTCAGTTATGTTGTCTATAAATAAATTAAAGATCTCGAATATGAATTTGGTAGACTGTCAATGTACTTGAACTGGGATAGATTTGGTATCCAAACGAATGCTTGTCTGAGAAAGTGTGGTAGAAAACGGCTACTGGAACCGATCATTTTTATATGCTCCGAATGTGCATTTTGTTTTGAAAGCCAAGTTTGTTAAAACTGAAACAGAGACGGCCAAGTGTGACGGATTAGAGAATAGGTATTTTGAATAAAATAACTGATTTAATTGCGACACAATAATCGCTAATGCCCAAAAAAAAATAGAAAAGCTTTTGGTGTAATTCACGTTATTTGTTAACGAAGCGAACGAAACGCGGAAGCTGAGCTTAGCGTCAATGCTACCTACTTGAGCGTAAGAACTGCCCCAAGCTAGTACTATATTTAAGGTCTACCACACTATAGCGTGCAATGATGCGTTTGCACTGATTAATTACGTTTACAGGTTTACGTTTATGTTTGGCCTCTCAGACTATTCCGATTACTAGGTGGAATGTGGCCGTTTGAGGGAAGATTTTGACCTACAGTTGCCGTCGGAGTAAAACAATAATAAAATAATATATAGCTCAATTTACGAATATTTATTCATCATCACTCGAGCGCTATACACAGTAACCTGCGACTCCGGTACAACCCTAACCATGTAACCACCTAATCCTAATTATGCCCAAATGTCCTATGAATCCGGGTGTATATATATATATTATTATTTTTAAACTCACAGGGAGGATGTAAAGCAAAATTAAAACTTAAACCATCTTGTAGTCGGATAAGTCCGAAATACCTGGAGCGAAAAGACTGTACACCGATTAATATTGCTGAATTTTTTTTTTTTTTTTCACCAAATATAGTTAGGTACATGTTGCTATATAGTTAAGTACACAGTAGCGACATACTCTAATATACTACTGGATCTCCGCTCTGGGAGACCATTTTTCTCAGTCATTCTGTCTGTCTGTGTATTTAGCTGTAGCGTCTAGCTATACTGTTGGGCCGATCTTGTTGAAATTTCTACCGTAGGTTATGCTGTCAACCCAACAATGTGCGTTCCATCGAAAGTCTAGATTAGTGTTTCGTTTCCATGGCATCAGCGAACAAATGGACCAATTGACGGAAAATTCCTTTATTTTCGCAATTCACAATGTGTCGCCATTATCTCGTAAACAACCTCGATAATTAAAATTCCTTAATCGCTACCTTCCGTATATGTATATACTTTTTCGAACAAACCATTTTTACCTCTTAAATCGATGAACTGGGAAAGCCTTGGAAATTTTAGTGGACGTGATTAATTATTAGACGCTTTCATAGTCTATAGTGTACTCCAGGGGTTCTCAAACTTTTGGTGTTGCGGAGCCCTTGAAAAGGTTGAATATTATTCACGCCCCAAAATAAATGTTAAAATTGTTACTTTCCGATTAATATTTCTGAGTAAGTGGGTTAAAAGTACTTTACTTAATTTAAATGCTAAACCTTTTTTAATAGGGTTAATACAAGCCGTAAATAAATTTAAATTTCAAAGATAAATTATATATATTAAAGCTGTAAATTTAACACTTGACAAACATAGTAATAAATTAGGGGTTAAATCATTAGACATTTTTGGGAGACTTAAAAGGCCGCTAATAACGTGCGCGATAACATTTTGCTACAATCGCCGATCGTTTTCGTCAGCATGGCGTGTTTTTAAACCTTAAACATCTTTACGCCGGTGTTTATTCTCCCTAAATCAAAAATTTCATTCGGCATATACATGTATTGTACCTCAATGACGACGATAATTTCTTTTTTGTTCTCGTGGGGAATTATGAGTCCAATGTAAAAAACATGTTACCTCATTATAGTCATCGGTGACGAAATGCTAAAAATAATAATTATTGAAGAGGCAAATCTGCAACTCAAATTTCTTGCTTGAAAAGCAGCATTCTAAAATATTGAAACTAAAACTTAAAATGGAAGATCACGCTATAAGTTTGGTTTCAGCAGACTTACGTCAGATTAAAAACGCTTTATAGACATTGTAAATCACAGTTGGTGTTATGTTAGGTTTTCTTTGGTTATTCATCGTAACTGCGAAATCGAAACACAGTCAATTGTGCGCGCGATGTACCTTTTTTTTATTCTGAAACTACCGACGGAGCCGCATGCAATAAAATAAATTTCAATCGTTCGTATTTTGCTTAAAATAATCTCGAATGCGAAAGAACAAATCAAGTTTGACAAATCCCAAGATCGCAAAAATACGACTCCATTTTATTTATAGTTGGCAGTTTATTACGTATTTTATCTTATTTTAGAATAGTATTCTTTTATTTTAGTAATCCTAATAGTAATCTCGAATCAAACTTGAGTAACGACGAGCACAATTAAATTATAACGACGAGACACTTTAAATGCACGCATCGGTCATGGATTGAATATTTTACGGCTTTACGCAACAGAAATCTTGTTATCCGTTTTTTTATTTAAATCGCGAAGAATGTTGCGCGGAAATTTCCAATCCCAATTTAGAACCCCATCCCTCTTAAGTATCCTGGCTGCGCTCCTGCTTATAAATAATGTCATTTACATTTTTTAATTCCGCCTCTTTGCCATTTTCCGCGGCTATATATGGTTGCCAAATTTTATCAAAGCTGTTATTGCTTCTTTGGACAGTTACAAAATTAGCCAAGTCAGTATTTTGAATAGTAATTGAATAGCTCGCAGAGCTCCTTGGTTTTTCTCGCGGAGCCCTGGGGCTCCGTACGGAGCACTTTGAGAACTTATGGTCTAGCCCAATTTAACCGTTCTGGCTGGAGAATTTTGTATACTCCTCCTAAAAATGCCATAACCTTTTGTTCAAACGTGCGAGAACCTTCAGTTTAATTTCATCGGAAAGCGGTATTTCGCCGCTTTATGCCAGTTGTGTCTTTTGATGCGTGCGATATTCGCTTAACCGTGCGCGTCGTAAATGAGAGAGAGTTTTTTTTTTTTATTTAAAAAGTTTTGTATTGTCCATCGGTGTGATCAATTCAAGCGAAACCGACTCGACAACAAAGTCTCTCGAATTAGACAATTACGTAAGCTTTCAGACAAATCCAAACATGCCGCTTCAGACGGCGTCGAATGCTAAATATTCAAGAAACAAAAGAGTGGGTTCATAGCGAGAAATTCCCATCGAGGACGCTGATTGTTTCTTTATTATTGTGATTATTACCTTGTTTACGAGCTAAAACGATTACTCGCCTGCTCAAATAGCTTTCTTTCAAGTAATAACATACTCCTATGTGCATATCTTGGATTTCAAATACTTACAGATATAAAACTTGTAGAATTGGAAATATGCCAAAAAGGGAGTGACGCACAACCAGGGTTCATAAAACTCGGACAAGCATATATCATGCTTGAAAACGACGCAAAAGTTTATTATTGATTTTGTGTTGACTAAGTCTTTTGACTTGGTCCACGATAAAATGCATACATAATGGATACTATACCGCTCACCAAAAGATTACCGACGAAACGTCCAGCGCTCAAAATGAACCGGCAGTTACGTTATCTCGGTCACTGCAGTATGGTGTTGTTGTAGGTTCAATTTTGCGTGGATGGTAACGGTTTACTGAAGTGCGGGCCGACTCGTGTATAGGGCTGGGCGTTTCGAAACACTGTTTCGATACGTTTCGAAACACTGATATGTCGAAACGGCGCTGTTTCGACTTCCGAAACGGACATTATGACGTCATAGCAATACCAATCTGAAATCAGTCAAAATATCATTCAGCGATGTCCAAGTCGAATTTCATATCCGAATTTATTCGAATATCGCGACTCTCAAATATCGTTTTTAGTGTTTATAAGAATATTGAATATATTTCAACATAATCGAGATAGTCTGGGTTACTGCGGCAATAAATCTAAAATCAAATTTTGTCGTAATTAATCTTTTTCATCCTTAGTTTCTATAGTGACCGAGCATGTCCTGCATTTGCCCCGCATGAACTAGCTCTTGAATATCATTTAGTATCTATCGCAGATTTTATTGTTACACTGCCGTCGTTAATATTAATATAGTTCAGTGCAAGTTTGCGGTATTAATTTATAAGCAATAATAAAAGCATAACAGTCGACGTGAAATATTCAAATCAGAACTGACTTGAAGAAAAATGAAACACGATTTTCAGTCTTAACTCTCCGTCATTGGCGGATGGAAACTTGTGGATTGGGTCGACTCATTTGATTACGACGATAATCGTGTTATAAGCAAAACAAACAGTCAAAATTTGTGGGGGGAGGGATAATTGTGGCGGAATTTAGCTTAACGATGTCGATGTCACGCTGACGATAAACAGTCACAACAAAAGTTAGCCGCGACAAAAATCCGAATTTATATTAATTTTACTGTTTAATTTAAATCATTTCTCTGGGCGCCTAGTTATAGCTAATTTCAATCAACGATAATATCATGAAAGCCCATTTCCTGTGTTCATGGAGTTAAGAATGTATTTGGAATTCAGATTCAAAGATATTTTTTTAAATGTATTAGTATTCGTAGTATTCGGTTGTGGCTTGGTATTATGGCTCTCCTTGGTATTATTACCCCACTGGATCACAAGGCTCTGTGACATCGGATAATATAGAAAATGATCCCAATTATTACATAAGATGAGGGCAGGGTCGCATTGATACGTTGAGAGGCCCCATGCTATATATGCTGCTTGTGAGCCCCATCTCTAACAATGACGTAATTCGTAATAATTATTCTGATGCCATTTGGTCACTGCTTTGTCATTAGCAAAAACCTTCATTGAATTATCATTATCGTTTCATGCTCTCGAATTAGCCTCCAGTGCTTCGTTTTTGTGGTTTTAATTCTTGAAAATATGTGCAATTATACATTAAATTCGATGGGTAATGATGGTTTTATTGTTTTTGACAAACGTGTGTTTCGTTTCGATTTCGTTTCGAAGGCGAAATTTCGTTTCGATTTCGAAACACCAGTGTTTCGAAAATGCCCAGCCCTACTCGTGTATCAGCGGTGATCCCGGGCACCACTTGCTTGAATTAGATAAAATTAGGAATGTTTTTATTCTTAACTAGTTTCTACGGCCATATTTTGACCATTTTTGTAATTTTAATATTTGCGTGTCATATGATTGAAAGGGGAGACACTTCGCTTGAGAAGTATAAATAATATAAAGGTATAAATAATAGGAATTTGAAAGTGTTAAACATAACTTTTTAAACAGGTTGTAGAAAACCAATTTCCAATTGAGCTAAATTCATCTCGGTTATGATTGGATATAGGAAAATAATTACAGAAAATACAATTAATTCTAACGCCCGATCAAGCACATACGTCGCGCCAAAATCAAATTCGGTGTTAAACGTAACGCTGACTCAGTGAAATATAATCCATAGTATTAATAATTATTAATTAATTAATAAATTAATAAATAAATTAATATAAAATCCAGGTGATCATTCTATATGTTTAGTGAGCCTTTAAGGTTGATTCAACTTCAATAGATTGAAATTCATGACAAAAAATTTGATTTTAAAAATAACTATTGCCCTAATATATTGAGCATAAAAAATATGGAAGCTTGGATGTCGGACTAGAAGCAAAATGTATTATAAATATTATGTTGAGAATATTACTGTAAATTGGAAAGAATTATAACAGTTCGCTATTTGATGTGTTTCGTCATGTATAGATTGCACGCCATTTCAAAATCGCTTCGTGTCCCCTTTTCGTTCAAACACAATCTAACTTTCACTATGTCTCAATTATGTTGTCGTCATAAATTAAAGATCTTGAATACAAATTTGATAGACTGTCAATATTACTGAATTAAATCTGGTATCCAAACAAATGCTCGTCCAATGAAGTGTGGTAGAAAACGCCTATGGGAACCGATCATGTTTATATGATCAGAATATACGTCGCGCAATAGTAATTCAAAATGAAAATGTGACGTTTTGTTTTAAAAGCCGAGTTTGTTGAAAAGATCTGATACAGAGACGACCAAGTGTGACTAAATGAAAAATATTTACCCTTTGAAATAAGTTGAAATTTCGGGCAAACCCGGAAGAAATTCGTAAAAAATAAATAGAACAAAAGTAGCAACCATCTTTGGTTAAATTGGATCCACACGTCCACTTTGTATCTCAAATCTTGAAATCTTTCGTTCAAAACACAAAGAGGTCAATCCCAATTGAATCATTCTTAGTAAATACTTGTGGTAAGAGGCTGATTTGTTGAATGTTGTAGTGTCATTGGTGTAGTGCCAACCTTGTATTAGGAAAAAATTTTGTGTTTTATATTCTTACAAATGTAATCTGACTTAATATTGTGTTTAACAGAAGTCCAGGGTCCCTTTGTTGAAATACAAAGCACCAACAGAAACCAGAAAAGTTGTTATGCAACAGAATGCAGCACTGCAAAACAAGTTAAATGGCGTAAAGCATCTGACGAAGTGTCAACCGCAACTACAACTACAGTTTATCAAACGATACAAACTGGATCAGCAATATTATATCTTCAAAACGCGAATATTTCAGATGCAGGGTCGTATAGTTGTCGTAATCAGGATGGCCAAACCGGAGGAACAGTAGAATATGCAGGTGAATATAATCAATAATATATAGAGTCTATATTATAGGCAAAGATAATGAGCATCTGTGCCGATATGGCACGGCTGACTGCGGTAATGCGGTTTGCTGAAAAATTTGACGGGAAATCGTAATAGAGGAGGTCAAGCGTTAAGAAATTACGTATTTCTGTAGTCAATTAGTCAATCGTTTTTGTGTCTTCAAAAATATGCAAATAAAAATTATTTATTTACCACATTAATTGTGACCCTCTAAGGGCCATCAAGCAGCAACATTCACACCTACAAATACCATATGATATGCTTTAAAAACAATATAATAAAATATTAGGGAAGCATTAGATTTCATAGAACTCAAAACTAATTGGGAAAAAAGCAATAGATTTTGAGGGACTAAAGATTAGAATTCGATCGGTTCGTTAATTGCGAAGAAAAGCAATGTTTTCCTAACATCAACATTCGGGAAACGATCCCCATGTATATTTGGTATTTACTCATTCTATCTACTAATTTTATAGGGTGAGCGCGAGCTTACGCAAAAATAGTCGACAGGTCTAACGAAAATAATGGCGGACAGGCCTGACGAAATTCCACGTGGTGGCGCACTATTCGTAAAGGGGATGACTGAAGTATTGAGCCAGAGACGAGTAAATATGATACACACACACTAGTTCGAGTGTGAAAAAAATTAAAAACAATTTACTCGATTTTCATAGAAGAAACTAAGAAATATATGGGTTACCGGTTTTGGGGTCACTCTGTAATGGTCCCCTAACAAATTTAAGCCACTTCAGATACTACAAATTTGAAATTGATTCGCCCATTCGTTTTCCCAACATCCACAATTACCCTAGCAACAAAAACAACAACTAAAGTTTATCTAAACATCTCATATTCATACTTTGCTCCCAAAGACGATTTCTATTTGTTCTGTCAGCTAATCTTTGCTATCTTTACTTTGCAGTGGATGGAAATCCCACAATCCATGGAATATCGAATAACACTTGCAACTCGAATTTGATCATCTCATGGAAACCACATACAAATGCTGTTGGATTTCCACACAAGTGAGTTTATCTCTATAATTAATAATTAAGCAAAATTTGTTTTTTCTCTGATGTTTCCACATTTAACATTTAAACGTGGCTCTAGGTAAGCTATCGATACTGAATAAAGCGACATATTTATTACACCCTGTATTGCGCCCCCAATCAGTCCCGAGACGATCGTACAAGATGTCAAATTTTGTAAAAACTAGTTCTCACAAATATATCATTGTGTTATAATCAATATATGTATTGTTTGAACGAATGGAAAGTTTATCTTATGAGCCCATTAGGTGAGTGACAGCCAACACTAACTAGTCCTTCGGCTGTGTTGTACAAGGGTCGACAGTAAATTAAGAGTTTATGTTTTTAAAAAATGTTTAGAAATAACTGAAATCCATTAGATATAGAGAATGCAGAGGTACATCTTGCGCTATAGTACCTGCTTTGGGTAGATCTTGCCCTATAGCAGGGGCGTGCAACCTGCAGCCCGCGGGTCAAATGCGGCCCACAAGAAAAGCTTGTGCGGCCCGCGAAGAAGCTCCACTTTTGAATGGTGTGCGATCCGCGAAACGAGTTTTTGTTTTTAATCTAGTATGTTCTAGTAATTTCAATGCTATTGCGTTGCATTGCCTATATTTGAGCTTGTGCAAAGCGAACAACGCATGTTACAAGATCAATAATCAAAATTTTTAGGTCTGAACTACTAGAATAGCTATGTTAGGTGAAGGTGCAGCCCGCGGTCTTATCCAGTTATTTGTATCTGGCCCTCGTGTATTAAAGTTTGCACAGCCCTGTCTACAGCGTGATAGACCCCATGCTATAGTACTAGCTATAGTGAGGTAGACCTCACGCTGTAATACTAGTTTGAGGCAGATCTAATGTCATAGCGTGGTTGACATTACGTTATAGTGTGGTAGATCTTGCGCTACAGTAGCATTGACTTTAACCTCAGCTTCGTGTTTCGTTCACTTCGTTAACAAATAGTCTGAATTTCATCAAAAGCTTTTCTATTTTACATTAGGCATTAGCAATTAATGTGTTGCGACTAAACCTTTTTTTCAAATATATCAATGTCGGCTATGACTTGATGAAAATAATTTCAACCAAATGCTAATGTGTGCACTAATTACAAATATATAATGGCTCTTACTGAATTTATTGTACACTCTATTTTGTTTCACAGGGTCGAAGTAACTACATTCCCAGGGGGATCACCAAAATGGGTGGAATCACCAACATCTGGGAATCAGTCAACCCTAATATCCAGTTTGTTGCCTACCACAGACTATACAATCAAAGTAAACAATAAGGATATATTATAACGATTTATTTGATTCTATTTATTTTGTTTGCAATCAGTTTCCTCTTTAAATAAGAACAGCTTTGATACAACACGCTCGTCAATGTATGTTATTACGTTACTCCCGTAGTGTTTTTACCACGATACGGTTGGCTCATAATTTTATTCCGATTTGACTTTTTTTTTCATTACGAGTTAGGAGACCGTCTGTGTTAGCCAAGTGTATATACCCCCTGTCAACAGTTCCGTCACACAACTTGATGTAGAGTAGGCGAACAAAATTAATTACTGCCATATTGGGACACACACTTCTGGAGCGCCGTTATTCCTATGGCAAAAGGTCAGAACCTTTTCATCAAAAATTTTCTCAGCATCTTACAATCGTGCAAATTTACGTCTTTTTAATATAATATTAATACAAGTTTTTCATTATATATTAATTTTATTTTTCAGATAACTGCATGTGTAACGAAAGATAATTGTCTACCCAAATATTCCGCCACCAAAACCGCAACAACAGGGGGAGCAACGTTGTCTGCTGAGTCTTCGTCTACTACACAGATCAAAGAGAATCAAACTTGTGTCATCGATTGGACATTTCCAAACAGTGCAAAGATTGGTGGCCCGTATAACGTTGTAAGTATATATCGCTGACTCAATTTGATTTATATTGCATCTCAGAATAGATAGAATGGTCTGGTATACAAACTAAACCCCAACCAAGTTAGATTACTTTATGATGATGATAATTTGCTCTCCGGATGCACACAATTTTTTACTCGGTTGTTTGGATACCTCAATCTCACGTTTGAATGCTTTCTTTATAGCAGATACTTCCCTGGTTCAATGGAGATATTGACTCTGACTCTCGACTCGAGACAATAGAGTGAATGAAATTAAATTGGAAAATATCAAAAAATTAGTTTAGTAGTCACATTACTTTTCCATCTCAATTTTTCCTTTCACTTCACAGGAAGTTAACTTAACTTCGTATTTGGCTACATCCCGAGATTCCAATAAGCAGTTAAACACACAGACGTTCAATGTAACATCATCGTCGCTGCATTCCTTTCAACCAGACCCAAATCGCAACTATTCAGCTTCTATAAAAATATTCAATTGTGTCGGAGCGAGTCAAGCAATCGATTCAAGTGGGCGTTGCACTGGAAGACCAAAAGGTATAATTGATAGTATTATAAAGCTAATGAGATTATAATCACTGACAATTGTAACTACAGGCTGACCCCGAAAAATCGAAATCATATCTTTCTTAATCGCTTCTAGAAAGAGAAGATAATTTATTCAAAACTTAAACTTCTGTTTTTGAATGATTGTACCCGAACGTTTCAGTAATCCAGGACGCTTTGTACAAAAGTTGCGTTTCTATAGCTAGAATATGTTCCAAATAACCCGGATTTTGCTTTTGGGTCACCCTTCATGTTATGTGATCATGATATACAAATGAAAATATATATTTGGCTTTACCCTGACATTGGTTGCGTTGTAGCAGGTAGTTGGTATAGAGAATCAGCATCACATTATATTTTGGCCACTTTTGATATTATTAAGTCAAGTCACAAAGCCCCACGACTTGTGTCGAGTCATAATTTGTCGCAATCTTGAGTCTTGTTCTTGTCACAACGGATTTTAAAGTCGCTTCCGACTCATTGTATATTTCATGAACAGAATGAATAAATATGAGTCACATTGAAACTAAGACTTCCTCTTGCGGCAATCTAACGTTATACCGAAAGTCAAGATAAGATTTATCCTTGTGTGTATTGATAACATTTATCTTGGCACTAGCACGATCCAGTTTGAGTTATTGCTTTACAATTTTCAACATTTCAATAGAACCGAATCGAAAATATTTTTGAGACTTCAGTCAAGCCGCTCTGTAGGTTAGTCGAGATTGAACCATTTGAAAAAAACAAGGACTCGGGTAGATTCACTGCCCCGAGTATATTTATTGACTCGCGTATATTCACTGACTCGAGTAGATTCACTGACTCGAATAGATTCACTGACTCGAGTAAATTCACTGTTTCGATTAGATTCCCCGGCTCGAGTAGATTCACTGACTCGAGTTGAAACACTGACTCGAGTCTCTTCAAGAATGCTCTTATTTTTATGAACCGACATTGCCTTTTGAATGCTTATAAAGTCATATTAACCGGACCCTACTTGAACCCTTTTTTCTTTTGCTTATATTCAATAACTGTCAATATTTCCAGCACTCTCTGAGAGATAACAATCTAATATTTTAACAGCACCTGAAAAAGTATCTCCTCTCCTTATTGAAAATAACGTCATAAATGAAAACGGAACCAAAGAAATGACCTTGCTGCGACCAAATGAAACCAACGGACTCGTAAGGTACAATCAACTCAAATAAAGCATTTGGCAATAAGTTAATGCTCGTATACAAAAACATATATTATTGCAGGAAGCAATGTTTTGAGCTTCGACCTTAAACTGCTATGGTCTTGACAGAAATAGTGCTGGAAGAAAATTCCCAAGTAATTATGGCTTTATCGAGAACTGATAAATAAATAAATCTTTGATAAATTTTTATGTCTAAAGTTTAGATGAATTTTATATTTATATTAGTAACACAGGCTACCTTGAGGAAAACGTTTATGATAATCCTTAATATTAAAAAGTTTTTGCTAACTTCTTTCCATAAATTCGAACAGTTGCATGCTGGTGATCGTTGGGAAAACTGGATCGGAGGTTGCTGCTAAAGTTTCATTGGACAATTTAAAAGAAGCGAACAAATCTTGGGAAAACGGAGAATATATTGCAATGGCCATACCAGTCTCAAGGTAGGTGTTTGATTTTGTTATCATATCTCTTCATTGCTAGATGGGTACTCCCGTAGAATGTGTACCAGGTTTGGGTTAGGCCATAATTTTATTTCCATTTTCCCTATTTTAGTTCTATTACGGGTTCGGGGACTGTTTGTTTTAGATAACTTAATATCCCTCTGCCCATAGGTTTCGTTCCTTTTACACAACATGATGTAAAATAGGCGAATAAAATTAATTCCCTCCATATTAATACGCATACTTCTAGAGCGTCACCAGATGTTTATTTTACAATTGTTTTGCCCGCTTGATGTTACTTTCTACCTGACTCCAAACTAGACCCAATACGAAAAGTTACAAATTTAACTTCAGTTTAAGTTCAAATTTAATTCATTCATTTAGTTCAAGTTCAAATTTAACTTCTGATCATTTGAGCTTTTGTGTACATTTTCAACACTATTACACCTGTTGCATTTATCATGTTGGAAAACATTCTAATAATGTGTGAATGCCACGAATTTGACCAATTCATGTTGTGTTTTGTTGTGTTAATACAGCACAGAATTTGCATCGAAGCATCTTAAACTTACCCCAATTAGGCTTCCAAATTAAATACACTATTTGCGTTGAACATGTCGTGTGGAACGTCATACACGTATCTTCAACAATATTACAGATAATGGAATCATTAAAAATATAGGTAGATTTTTGAAAATATTTCAAAATCTCCTATTAACAAAACTCTTTGTGCTATGTTGTCTGTTTCTGTGAGGCAAACAAGTCTGATACGACTCCATTGATGATTACAGCATGGACGAGGAAGAAATGAAAATCATCCTCGGAGACGAATCGGAGACATCATGTGACGTAAACGATACTGGTAAAAAAGATTCAAGAAAAAGAAAGAAACGATCAGCACAGGACGGAAATGTATTTGTAGGACGAAGTCAAAAATTTAACAAAGAAGAAGATTACAAGTATGAGTATATGATTAAAAAAGCTACATAAGTAAGTTGATTCAAAGCAAATGCTGGAGCCCTCCGTTATTAGTGAAATGATTATTAAAATGGCAAAAGCATAAAGTGGCCACTAACGCACTGAAAATCTATATATGTGTTTACTTGCAATTAAGGTGTCAAAAACGCTTGATAAAAGACATGAGGTAATTCAAGGTGACACTACCTGCCTAAGAGGAATTGGATTACGCATGGCCTGCAATACTAGAAAGAAACGTTTCAGTGGAAAGCCAAAACCTTTGAAAACACAGAAATAGATTTAGAATCTTGTTTTGAATAAATTTTTAAAAAAAACTAGATGTGCAAAAACAATGAAAAACAATTTTACCATTTCCAGTATTTTTTTTAGAAAATAACCTACTAATAAGGTACTATTGAAACTCAGCGAACACTTTGAATTATAATTAGATAACTAATGACTTTTGTGCAATGCAATGCTGAAAAACAAGGGTCTATGATCTGTAAAGTACCTTTACTATATAGACTGATATCACAAGTAATTTGAATGAAAAAATTCTAGTACTCGTTAATCTTATATTCTTCATATAAGTATTTTAATAAACGACCGTACAAAAGAGCCTTGTGTCGATTGAAGACGCCATATTGAAAAAAAATCATAATAAAATTGATTATCTTTGACTTGACGTCCGTCGAGCAACAAATGTCTGTGACCTTACCTGTGGTATAACAAAATATATCAGATCTGCTAAATGAGAACAAAGCTTTGTAAAGTTTGTGATCTTCCGTACTCTTCCTATATATTAAGGGCCAAATATATAAGCACTTCGAAAATATTTTTAGAGTGAAAAGTACCAAAAAGTTTAACACTTCGAATAAAAGTTTCATTTTTTCTAGAGTTTCAGTTGTGACTTCCACACCATCTGGTGATGACGTATACTTCTCTCGAAGCATGGAAATTACTTTGAAATGGGAAACAAAAGAAGTAACGAATGGTGAAAAAGGAACAGGTTCAATCAAATCAGGTATCTTCAAACATACATTGCTAAAAAAAAAAAATTTAAATTATTTGAATATTTCTTTAATATTCAGTATATCCATTAAATGCCTTATGTTGTGCTCTGTTTATCCCGTACCATGATTAATGTAGAATTATGAATGCGAGTTGAATCAAGATTTTCCCAGAAATTCTTCGTTTGGAAAACACTTCGAGTGATAGTTAGCATTTTTATGTAAATTTATTTCTACGTAGTTCGTATTGTTTAAAATTATTAGTTAGTTTATTGCCAAAAATGGAATATAGTTTATATCATAATCTCGAGGACAACGTGAACCGACATGCTAGTTTACATTCATCTGGTAGGGCTTGGCCTATCATACGGTAATCATTTTAATCGGGGATAAAAAAAAAAGCTGATTTTTTCGGGTAATCGTTCCATTTGTATGGGCTTGAATGTGAGAGAAATCAGTTACCCCTCTCTTGAATACGTGAACTCCCTCGCAAACGCAAAGCGTCTAGTAACCTTTGCATAAATGGACAGATCGCCGTGTTGGAGAAAATAGAAGTGACTCGTACTCTACTAACCGCCAGTGAGACTCCACTCAGTAATTGACTTGTCCTCAAACTAGACTTAAAATGAGCCGTGAGCTAACTTGACTCGCGACTCGAGGTGTAAAAACGCTTTACATTTGAGAAGACTCGAGTTATCTAAAAGAAATGACTCGGACTCGTATTCCAATAACCGTAAAACTCAGGGATTGACTCGACTTCGGAATTGTAAGAGATGTGACTAAACTTAGCACGCCAGTTTATAAACTTCTAACGAGCAGTTCCTTACGAATGTCGAAACTGTGAAATGATGCAGAGTACATATGGAGGTAGGGCTGGGCATTTCGAATCGAATAATCGAATCGAATAGTAAATTATTTGAATCGGTTCAGAGCTAAATTTCAAATCGCCGTCATCTTGTTTTTATCTTTCCGCTAATCTTCAAGGTGAATTCCCCATTTTTTTTATTGGAGTCATATTTTTTTAACGAAATTCTAACATATGACTATTTTCTTATTGATATAACGTGTTTGTTATTCTGTGTGAACGCTCAGTAATCTATCTGAGTGATTTGTTCTATGTCTCCAGTAATTCATTTGTTGAGAGGACCAATTACTATAATAAAATCGCTCACAATTATATATTTTCAAGTATTCGAGATTCGATTCGATTCGAAAAAATTATTCGATTCGATTCTGAAATCACAAGTTATTCGAAAATGCACAGCCCTATGTGGGAGTAAGCATGTTTTTACGGCTGAATAGGTCAGAAGGGGAATATTCAATGTTAGCCGAAGATAGATGTGTCTGAATGACTTTTATTTTTACAGGCGACGAAAGCGGCGGAACACCTAGCTGGACATTTGCTATCATTGGCGCGGTCGTGCTTATTCTTATAGTTGGAATTATAATTACTGTCGTAATATTGAAAAAAAGGTAAATTAAAGTGCATAAACAAGCTCATAATGTTTAAACTGTTTTTGACATTACCAGAGTCTTCGGTTCACTCTTTTCCACCTTCCCACGCGCTCTTGCGCACCAGAAAATGTAACAATTAACTTGTACTTTTTTCATTGACTGTATTTGACTTACGTTGTCTCAAATAAAAGATTTTTGTCTTGAGCAGAAAACGTAATACAAAACTTGAATTAGTTTGATTCAAAGCTGACATGGCTTGTCGGTACGTTTTGATCTTAATGTGACAAATGTTGTTGTGGTCGATTATACTTAAGATTTGGACTCTCATGACTCGAGATTGCTTGAAAAGTTACTTTAAAGTAGTCTCATCCAAATACAGACCATGGAACTCATATTCAAAGCAAAAAATACATTAAAGCAGAGTTCCAAGTGACCTCTGGCCCACTAACATAACGAGATTCATTGTTCAGGATAAAGCACCAAGAAATGCATAAAATATAGTGTGACGTGAGCAACAAATTGCTCGCTGTCACGAGTATTTAACAGAGTAATTTAGTTTAAATTAGAGTAATTTATAAAAATTCAATAATAAAGACTTAATAATTAATCCATTCAGAAAAAACAACGAAACAACGAAAATCGAAGTTCAGCCGTCGGAACTTGAAAATCCTGTTCCACCGACACCGAATGTGTAAGTATCGTCACATGGTGTAGTAAAACGAGTTGATAACATCAACAATTCATAGTCATTGTCAATTGTTACCTAGTGAAGCCCTATTCAAGTGAACCTCAGAGAATCACTCAGTGAGGGCCGACTAGAAGGCAGAGAGATCAGTTCGAGAAACGATGGTTTTAATCTAAAAATAACATTGGTTATAGTAAAACTCGTTTATGGTTCAATGTGAATTCTACATACAATGTTGCCAATAATTGGTTTATAAAAGTATAATTACTATCGAAGACCACTTACTGTTTAACCATACTATAATTCTACCAGGATACAAAGTGTTGGTTGCGAAAGTTAGGAAAATTGTAGCTGCCCTTTTTATCAAGTAAAAATCCGAAATTTTTTTTTAATTACAAGAAACTTCCTCCATAAAGTAATCTCGTTTATTTTATGCACAGTGCTCCTCATGCCAGCGACAATTCCCCAAGAGTCCCGCCTCCTGTACAGCCACGAAGACCAATTTCTAATGAAGTACATATAGTAGAAGGTATTGTAACTTTCATGTTAAAAGATTTAATTGCATAGTGTCTAAAAAAGAGAGCAATGCTAAAAAAAATATCGGGTTTCATGGAAATTTGAAAATCAAAATATATGTAATAGCCATCTATAGGCTTCTACCATCTTCAAACATTTGTACTCATTTGGTGAATTAGTTTATGCGAAAATCTTATTCAGTTACAGCGAAAACAACAACAACAATTTAGGAAAGCAGTCCATATGTATGCTGTCTCCAATAGCGAAATCATACCGTGTTTTTACACATTCTATACCGTTTGTTTTTACTCAATTCTCTCGTTTTTAAATGAATTCTCTCGTTTTGTAATGAATTCTCTCATGTTGTCCCCGAAGATGCGACGCCATTACGCACCACAATGATATGCTTTAAACGTTATGTTTTTATGAGTTTGTTTGGTGTAGTCTGACTTTGCATAAATTGTAAATTTGGTAAATATGTAAATATGGTTAATAACAAATAATACAAGTTGACACAAAAGTAGGCTGACAGTTGAATTAATTGCTACCCTACCTTGTAATTGTAATGCCGTGTTGGGCTTTACTTTTAAAATCCCCCTGAGTCGGTGTCAAGAGTTCAAATTCCCCGGAGTTGTAGTCAGAATTTTTGACTTTCTAAATAGAAATAAGTCAAACTGTTCTAAAGAAACTCAAAATGAATTAAGTTTAGAATACGCTTCTACAGTATATTTATTGAAGGCTTGCATATGCCAAGATTTTCGCGTTTAATCTTTGATTTTTTGGAGTTTGTAAGCTAGAGTCGAAGTCAAATTTTTTTACAACCCGGACTCCGGAGTCTGCACTCAAAGCAGATGGGTTAACTCAGTTTTTACCTTATATTCAGGACAAGACGCTTATGTGAACTATGTGAAAAAAGCTGAAAAAAAATCAGAAACATCAATTTCTGTCTCTGACTTGGAAAACGTTTACAACTCTATGAGGGCCAGAGAAAACAGACTGTTTTTGGAACAATTTCAGGTAAATAAACGATAAATAATAGTTGTAATTTTAGTGATTTTTCCGGAGAAAGTTAGCAATTTATCAATGGTTCTGATATCCGAATATGGATCAAAATAAATAAATTTCTGAGACACTTCATCGACGTGGATGGATTCAAAAATGGATGACATATGTAAAAAACTACTTTATTAAATTAAATAAAAATTCGTTCTGAGCGCGTCCTATAACGTTTATAACGTCCTATAACGTTCATAACAACCATAGCTTGTAACAAATATTTGATAATATATTCGCGCAATAATTTGTGTTTTAACTCTAATGAATGAATGCTTCAGACAGCGTCGCCTCGCACGTCTTTTACATTTTCTCTCTTTTTTGTTTTAATATGGCGTCACAAATTGGTATTAAGTCACACTTTTACTTTTCATTTTTTAGCAACGGCGCCACCTCATAAGCACTCCATTTAGAATTTCCCTGCTTGATAACCAATTTTGGTTCCTCTTTCCCAGTAAATTTTGTGTTCGTGATTTTTTTCAATTTTGCTTGCAATTTTTCACCTGGATGGAAAAACAAATTGACTATGACTATAATTATCTATTTTAAAATTTGTTTGTAGAAAATTCTTCAGGAGGCCGCAAAATATGGCGGAACAAAAAAGTTTGCGTCGAACGAGGCTTTGAAGAAGAAAAATCGATATAAAAATATATTGCCATGTAGGTACATTTACTTTCATCTACATTGTTACATCTTATGTAAATTTAAACGATTCAACTTCCATCACGACAAAGTCATCATCTAACTAAGAGTTAATGCCGTGGTGGGATTCAGGGGATTCGCACGGGTTCTCGCGAACGCGTTTCGGAATGTCGTGATATCAGCGAACCCGTTTTTGTTATTATATCATCTAAGAAAAGGGTTACGTACGGCTCAAATGACGACTTGCGTGCGTTATATTCTGTATTTCGAAAGTTAGGTATTGTATTTGTCCAAATGCACCTTACGTCATGACATAGGCTAGATATGTTTCTTGAAATGAGAGAACCTGTTGTTAGTGAGTTCTATACATTATTAAAAATCGTTCTTAAATTTTTAATCCCACCCCTGTCTGTATACTTTATACTCAACGATTCGACTATTCACAAAATTTTTCATTTGTTATTGATTCTCTTTCAATAAGTTCAACGATATTTTAAAAGCACATTCAATGAGTATGCACGTAACTTCCCCGTTTCCTGGAATGTGTTTAATGTATGAAATGAAAGTAAATGGCGCTTTTAACAAGACAGAAAACTTGAAACCGACTTTTATTAGTCCGGTAGTATTATTCTATTGGACTTTACCATTTTGATTTGACAACCAATGCTATAATCGCCACATTTCATCTAAAGCAGCGGTTCCAAACCTGGGGTCCGTTGATCACCAAGGGGGCCACAGAGCAGTTGGTGAGGGGCCACAATACTTTTCCTTTTATAATAAGACTCCCCGGCTTTCCCAGTGCCATTGCTTGATAAGATTATTTCACAGGGTGTTGAATTGTTTAAACATAATGGAATTTGGAAACTAACAATCAAAATAACACTATAAATACCACGGGAAAGAAAAACACTGGGACCACGAGTGCTTAAAGCTTCCGGAAGGAGGCCATGAGCCTTAAAAGTTTAGGAACCACTGATTAAAAGTATTTATCTGCATACGTTAGTTTGTTGAAAAATGTTCCTCAGTCATTACTATTGACGCAATAGAGAGTCTTATGATGGCGGATGCGGTAGCATAAGTATGCCGTTTGGCTAAATTGACTAGGTCCGCCTATTGTCTTTGTCAAACGTTTTTACGACTTGTCGACGTGGTATTTTCGACATAAAAAACATTTTATATTCTTACTCTCAGAAGTTTTTTAATCTTTTTTTCTCACTCCAACCAAAAAATCCTATTCACTTCCGATTCCTTTGCGTCTGTTAGTTGGCCACACAAAGGAGTTTCCGGCAAAAAGATCATCACGAGTCAAAAAAATGATAATGCAGTGTCTGAATAATTTTGCTCATTCTCTGTTTAGTCGATGATACCCGAGTTCCTTTAACCGAGGCAAAGTCTGGCTACATCAACGCCTGTTTCATAAATGTAAGTTTTCTCTGTCGGTCTGATTATTTTAGTATTTTTTGTGAAACCTAGTCCATAACTTTTTTTTGAAGCTTTGTCTTTAAAACGCTACTAAGATATATCCAATGTAAAATACATTAATGTAGAGATTTTGCAAAATTCTCTCTATTCTATAGGAAATTTGAAACCCTATTCTTAGCATATTCGCTTTTTTGGGTAGAAGCATTCGTCGTATATTTGGCTTTGTTCTTAAAAAATTTAATCAACCTCATCTTATTACAACAACCTTCTATCTTTTCACAGGGCCACAACGTACGACACAAGTACATTGCAACACAAGGGCCTCTGCCCGATACCGTTGGTGACTTTTGGCAGATGGTATTAGAGCAAAAAAGCAAAGTAATCGTTATGTTGGCAAAAGAAATCGAAGCAGGAAAAGTAAGTTATGAAAAAATTCATGTTCATCACAATTCAATCAAAATTGCATGACAGACAGACTTCAACTGTTGTTGGACACGAATTGAACTTATTTATCGTTTTATTATATTGTTGTTGTTGTTCTCTTTTACTACTGGACCAATTGCTTTAAAATTTTCTTCAGTCATCGAGATGAAAAATTGCGCACCGTGTGGCGATTCGATCGCATTTTCAATCCGGCAGTCAGAATACCGGTATATTTCTTCGTTTTGACCGTGTGCACATATATTTGATCTATGCTTTCTGGCATTTAATTTGTGGAGATAATCGTTGACTACCAAACAAATTGCAAATATGCAAAAATATATATATGTAGAATTAAAAACAAATGATCTGACGTAATTGAATCAAAAAGAACTCAAAGTTACATTGAAATATTTGGTGCACACGAAACAATGAACATACGCTGCATATTCTATTTTTTGCTCTGGCGTTCGGGAAACCGTTGGTAACCATTGATTAAAATTCCATTGTCATTTAATATGCAAAAGCAAATTTTTTTTAGAAAAAATGCCAGAAGTACTGGCCTGACGCGGGGAAAAATCTTGCGTTTGGAGATATAGTGATTGAAAATGCACAAGAAGTCAATTACAGCGCTTTCATGAGAAGGGTCCTCGTTGTGACATCCAAGCAGGTAAAGAATAACAAATGTGGAATAGACGACCTTTTATGGGTCGTGTGCCCTCTGTAAACCCTGTAAAATATCTTATCCTTAATGAAATTAGGAAGAATCTGTGTAAGACTCCCGCACTCCGCTTCCGATTGACATCCGCTGCTATACACTATAGATTTTTTACATTCACAGATGCTGGAGTCTGGACCACTTATAACATATAGTATTAAAAACAAAATCATTGAATAGAGAATAACTCTTGGTTACTGAGAATTCATACCTAGTACTAGCAGAAAACAAAACAAATCATTAATCACACATTTATATAATTGGCGAAAATCCCAGCCCGTATATATTTCAAATTGTTGTTTTTTTTGTTTTACTTTTCTCATCTTAGTCACTCCAGTAGGTAATCTATATGTAAAATTATATATGTCGACTATGCTTTTAATCAAGTCCTTGTGTCTTGGCTGCGTATTCAAAAAACATTGGAGGAAAACTTTATATTTACTCCAATTTATATTGTACTAAATAAATATTTCAAATTACCAATCTCGAATTTTGTGGGAATCAACATTATTTAGTTTTTGTCATTGTTAATTCGAACTGGGGTAAATTCGTCTCTATTGAATCATGTCCTCAATATATAAATACATTTGATTTGTGATTGCAGTCCCTCGCCTAATAAAAGTAGTGTCATTGAAGCTTTAAAAAAATTTCAGTCTGTCGAACGGTACTTCACTACTACTATATTTCAAACAAAATATACCAAACAAAAAATTTGTGTTCTCTCGGTAGCAATGAAAAAGAGGGTAAAATTTTTATTTATTATATCTTCCAGGATAACAAAAGCTTGACCGTTTACCAATATCAATTCCTTAAATGGCCTGATCATGGGGCTCCTCAGACAACATCAAACTTGCTCAGAATGCATCAAGCGGTCTTGAAAAGTTGTCAAGATCTGGAAAATGATTCTCCCATCGTTGTACACTGCAGGTAAACCTCTTTACATAGTTGAATAGTTGAAAGGGCAAAAAAAAAACGAACTAAAACCCAGTGATTCGATTACTGATTGTGTGAGTTTCATTATCTTTGGGACACCCTATGTCTCCTCATGTGTGTGCAGTATGAAAATATATGGCGCTTTTACCAATTAGAACATTTTGCGCCAGACAATTTGAACAAACTTTGAATATGCTTTCAATATTCTCCTGGTGGACATAATACAGCAATGAAGAGCGAATGCGAGTGTTACATAAAATATCTTCGATTTGAAAATCAATAAGACTCTCATAAAAAAATGAAAGTAATAAGTGTTCTGCTAACTACTTCCATCTTAAGGTACTAAAAATGAGAAATTGATTGGTCCATTAGTTACGGAAAAAAGCATTTTTTTTTTACCAAAAGTCGTTCCAACACCAACAACAAACTAGCAACAATAACAACAGTTGAAAAAAGCGGTTCAGATTGCCACTTCGTATCTGAAGTGAGACTTACACTTACCCACTTTTGTAATAGATCGACTTGCCGCGTTAGGAGTGACATTTATCATACAAGGAAGTACTAACAATGGTTCTATTTTAGTCTGGTTTTTATGCGTCATTGAAACAGAATTCCATGAAAGCTGCTTTATGCGCGACATATTACCTATCCATTCGGTTTTGTAACAATCATGGCTTCTGACTATTGAGGTAAATCCAGACCCAAACAATTCGGTGAGAAGAAGTGGCATAGCGGTATTCATGAAATTCACAACAAAAATTTTTTTCAAATGCGATTTTGCGGCATTATAATGATGACGACTTATTTCCTTTCCTTATGAAATTTAAACGTAGTCAAGACAATACAATTGTTCACTTTAATCATCTTACATCTATTATTAAAATATATAATTATCTCGTTGATTCTTATGAACCCGATCTAGACTGGCATTAAAGGCGTGGTCTTCCTTGCTCTCCATGAATTTGAGAAATCTTATCTTATCTCTATTGAAGACAAGGCGATCCAGTTCGTTCATATTGTTCCTTCTGATAAGTTGGTGTTGTCGTCGCTGTTGTTGTTATGGTTGTTGTTATTCTTGAAGTTGCTGTTGTTGTTGTTGCTGTTGTTCTTGTTTTTGTTGAGGAAAGTAAATTTTCTCATAAAATCGACCAATTGATCTTTTCATCAAACTCGGTGATATCCCGTTCATGCAGCAATGCGTGATTTTGTTGCATATATTGTAATATTTTTATATTTAAGTGCTGGAGCTGGAAGAACTGGAACCTTTATTGGATACGACATTCTACTCGAGGAAAGTACTTCCAAGCGATCAGTTGACGTGTTCTCTTGCGTCCTCAACATGAGAAAGCAAAGAGTTGAAATGGTGCAGACCGCTGTAAGTTAGTAAATGAAATCTAAAATAAACGTAATAATATGCAATCAATTTGCTACAATATTAGTTTTCGTTCAAACCATATTCAAACCTGAATAAATTTTAGGCTTGAACTACATTTCGTCAAAAAATAGATCTACAGGGTGACAAAAAAAAATAAAGCTCGTAAATTTCAAAAATACTCGAAAAATGATTGTACTCGAAAGTTGTGCTTTGCACGGAATTTCTTTTTATAATATGTTCCGAATTACCACCTTTTTAGTGGAGAGAGCTGTAATGTTTATATAATACTCTATTAACATGTACCATGATTTTCTAACTAAACATAGGACTACTATTTTCATACACGAAATGGACCTGTTTGTTTCGTTCAATTGTTATTGTTGTCATTAATAGTTATCGTTGTATTTGGTTGTTGTTGCTACCAAATTGCCGAAGATCAATCGATCAATCTGTCGGAATCAATTTAATGTAGGACAAGAAGTGTTCATATGGAATGTTTTGTTGCTATTGTTCGAAAGTAATGGACTCGAGTGTTGAGCTGTCTTTTGTATTTCATATTACTAATTAGAATTCGTTTAACATTATATTTATATTATTCGATTGTTTATTTCAGGATCAATATATCATTCTTCACAAACTTATGTTGGAGACAAGTCTGTTTGGTGACAAAGACTTATCTACTGATGAAGCAAAGAATAAGTTAGAAATGATGAAAAGGTAAATTCTATATTCATGTATTACAAAACAATATAGGCAGCAACTACAATTCAACAAGAAGCCAAAGATTTGCATCGCCCTATGCAAATATGTCTAAATATAACATTACGCTGACTGTGCTATATTCAAAATCCATTCGTTACAGTTTCGTTGAACATATTCATTCATCTATTTTGTTAAGATATAAAAATGCTACCAAATTTACATGAAATCATTGAGTGATAGTTTTTGCATTTTATGTATTGTTTCAGAATTGCTTCCAATAAAATTTTGCATTTTCTATTGAATACGCACCATCTGAGTAAGATATACATATATACCTCAATTTAAAATGTATTATGCTTTTGTTGAAAATATTCATCTCTTTTGTTGAGATATGAAAAAGCCACCGAATTTGCACGAAAACATTGTGTGATAGTATTTGTATTTTATTGTATTGTTTCAGAATTGCTCTTAATAACATTTTTGCATTTTATGTTGAATATGCTTCTTATGAATAAGATACAAAGTATCGATTCTATTCAAAATATATTATAATCTTCTGAGATAATCGAAAGCACAAAATTTCAAAAAATCTATTTCATGGGTGACGAATAAAATAACTTTCACAGACTGCAACGGATTATTAATGTAGAACTGTCCTGGACATAAATTCAAAATTTCAAATTTTCAATAAGAGACATTCCCTTATCAATAAAAAGCGAGTTTTCATATCAAGTAGAAGAAAAATATCAACAAAAACAACAACAACATAATAGCAAAACAATCCATAGGTCCATTTTGTGTCCACTAATAATAAAAATGAATAAATAGGATCTCAATTTCTTCATACTAACTGAATATTATAATTTATTTTATCATATTATTTGGTTTGAAGTTCTGGCAACGCTCAATCAAGTTTGAGAAAAGAATTTGATGATCTCAGCAGAATATATCCGATGAAAGATTCAAAACTGACTGGGAACGAGCATACGAAAACCAACCGATCGATGAATGTAGTTCCGTGTAAGTTATTAAAATAAGATATATTCTAATCTTCTAAGTTTCGTTTCATTTTTTAAGTGTGTTACAGCTTTCCCGTTTGTATTAGTTTTCAGTCGTGGTGTGCTGAAATTTCGGCACTGACACCTCAGTCATTTAGTCTGATGAAACAACTGTAATGTGCTTTTTATGAATGTGCTCAATGGGAATGAAGGGGATTGGCAAAGTTAACAGCAATTCTGACATTGTCGAATTTGTCGGCTATCGTGACTTATGAATTCTGGTCGCTAGAAATCAATTTTGTAAGGTTGGCAATGTCGTGAATTAGGAATTGTGCTAGAAATTGGATCTTGTTTCTGAATTAAAAGTTGGGTTCATATTGCAAAAGATGTAGATTCATTTAATGAAACTTTCTCAATTTTATTAAAAACATTGTTTTAGCTACTTTATATAAATTGTAAAGATTTCAACAAGGCACGCTTAACCAAAGACCGTGTAAATGAGGAAAACTCACTCAAAAGCAAAGCTACCCGCAATTACTGAAATAGGCTACCATCACAAAATAATGTCTTTGCTTTTGTAACGCAAGATTAATGAATTAGCTCAAAAAATAAATAGGTTTCTGTCACCACTATTATGAGGATAAACAGGTGGAAAATGATGAATTTCATAGAATATTGTCAAACAGAAAAAAATGACGGTTTATTTATAGAAATTGTAATGTTTTACAGATGACTACTCTCTTGCAAAACTTGCAATGGAAGCTGGCGAAACGAAAGTGCCATTTGTGAATGCTTCCTGGGTTGAGGTAAGTACTCAGTGAAATATTTGGACACGAAATGGGTCCATGGATTATTTTGCTGCATTTCTTTTGAAGTTTATAATGGGCTTGTCGTAAGAGTGAAAAATAAAATTTTCTCCGAAAATAACAAAGCAATCAAGTTGAAATTTTATGAACTTGAAGATGATGAAAGTCTTCAGAAGACTTTCATTTCTGTTTACAAATCATTTAATATAAAGTTGCACTGACCACGGCAGCCATCTGACAAAATTTAAAGAATTTCTTCTTGATTTATTCATATGGTATAATAGAATTGGAATTTTAATCTTCTCTAGAAATTTTGTGAAAGCAATTTTTTGCCATATAAACCGAAATTGTATTGATATCAACCAGTAATTTTATAAATGTAAATGACTGGTTTTAATTCTCACTATATTGCAAAATTGTTATGCTTATTTCGTCTAATGTAGAGTTATGATGAATCAAGTCCAATGATCGCATCTCAAGGTCCAACTTCATCAAACATTGATTTATTCTGGAGATCGGTTCTAGATAACAATGTGAATACGATCGTTATGTTGACGGAACTGAACGAAGGGCATGAGGTATGGATTTGCTTTCAATAGTCTAAAAATTCCAAGACTTTCTGTTTTTTTTTTTAATTTGTTCAAAAAATAACAATTCAATCTCAAGATCTAAATTTTGAAAAAACGGCCACAGCTGATTTTCCCCTCAAAAACGCCAAATTCGACAACTAAATAAACGGCAATTTCAAAAATTCTGCATTAAAATTAGAACATTGGTTGTCCTCAGTCATATTTTCTAGTGAATAAATTTTCAATAAACGATGGTATTCTATATTCTGTAAGTATTTCATTATTTCTATCACTTAAATCGTTATTTTAGGAACAATGCGCTCAGTACTGGCCGTCAAGTGCTGGAGAAGAATTAAAACTGCAAAACATCAAAGTAACTCTCGCCGCAGAAGAAACTGACGCGATTGCTGTAACAAGAAAATTGAAGATAGATCGGGGAATACAATCGGTATGAGCAGATTCTCTCCCTCTCTCTATCTATATCTCACTATATTCTTTCTTTAATTATATATATATATATATATATTTATATACGGTCGAAGCGTCATACTTTCTTTATTTTTAGAGATCTGTGACTCAATTTCATTACACCGGATGGAAATCAACAAGTTGCCCTGAAGAGGCAAGAGGGATAATCGACCTTGTTAGTAAAATGCAGAAAAATTTTAGATCCACTGGAAATGGAGTCATTCTCATACATTGCAGGTAAACTAAATACATGAGCACATTTTTGAATTCCTTTCTGCCATGCAGATTTATGGAGCGGGAGTCCTATTTGGTATCATTCAAATGTCTCCGGCGTCGGAATTGCAGACTTTCTAAAAATCAACAGTCTATCAAATGTTGTCAAAGCTTTTTTATCAAATTTCATTTTTTTTCAAATCCAGAGTTAAAGGGGCAGTCAATTTTTTTTACCTTTTTCAAAAGTCAGCCCGGAGTCGAAGTCATTTGTGAATTTTCTCAAACTTCACAGCTCTGACATATTGATAAAACTATCTTCACAATTATCAGTTTTCTTGAGTTATTCAAACATCGTTCTATTTTTCAGTGATGGTATCGGTAGAACTGGGGTATTCTGTGCAACAGTGAATCTGATAGATCGATTGAAATGTGAGAATCGAGTTGATGTTTTCAGAACCGTGAAAGATCTCAGAGATGGAAGACCAAATATGGTTGAAAATTTGGTAAGCATAATAAAATAAAAGAATTTTGAATAAAAATTAAACAATAACGCGATGTTGTTAGTTAAGTGAGGTAAAATTGCTCTCTCGGTAGATACAAATATACTATATTTCTTCCAAGTCAATATCGTACCCACTTGCATTTAAAATATGCGCCCAAACTATAAACTTTGATCACAATGTTGCATCAGAAAACAAGTTTCAAAATTTGATGATAAGTAGTGTGTTTGGAAACCAGTTTCTTAAATGCATTTGAACATCGTTCTAACATTTTTAAGGATAGGGGAAAGGCAGCGTTAAATAAAAACAGTATAATAAATTTGTTAAATTATTTTATTTCAGAATCAATACAAGTTCTGCTATCAAGCAATCATCGAATATCTAAGATCATTCGATCTTTATTCAAACTACTAAACACCGCATTGTGTAAAAAGGACGACATGTAATCACTAGTGTAAAAAAATTCCAATGAAAGGCTATGAAAAACTTTACAAAACAGTCACGATGTAACTCCAACATCACATTATGCCAAGTATTCCAAAGCAACGAGTGTTCATCTTCTAAAAATATTGTGTTTGTAGCTACTAAAAACAGACAAAATGCATAATGCCATTTAACAGATTTTTATTATTGTTTTGTTGTAAATAACTGCGCTATGTAGCGTTAGTAAACTAACCACTGCCTTTTTCTTAACATTAGATTTTTAAATTCACGTCTGACTGTAAATCTTATGCTATGCCTTTGTTTACTTGCCACTGTTAAAAATATAACTAGACTATGCATTGTCAAAATTTTATGCAACTTTTTGATGCATCGTATAAATTAAGTTATTTTGCTTCTCCTTCTCTACTTAGATGAGAAAATGTGTGATGTTAATCCTATAGGACCTATTAATCCAATAGGTCTTAAAGTATTTGATTTATTTTCGGAATCATTAGTTTATATACGCTTGATATTGTCCCGAAAGGACAAATCGTAGATCTGGAGGATGACTTTCAACACATCGCAGTGAGAAACTGCTCTAGTTTAACTGATTTTGCACAGTATATACTATGCAAAGTTTTAATCGATGCTCAGACCGTGTTTTCCTAACTTTCTATCCCATGATGCACACATAAAAAATGAATACTTTCAATAAATAATAATTAATATTAAAATTAATTAGTAGGAATAAATATGAATTAATATATTATATATATATATATATATATATGATAGTGTTTTCTCCATCATCATGGCACCAACTCGAATAACCTTCTAACCGCCCCTTTCAAGATCATGTTTTGTTTAATAACCATTTACTATTTCTATTTATTTTTCTTAATAATTAAAAGCAATGTTGGATTACTCTGTACCCTTACCTACCCACATTCCTACTGTTATCCTGCTTTTATGATATTTAGTGTACAACACTGAACTTTTTTCAGAAACTTACTTTGTTTTTTTCAAATTAAATTTAAACAAAATTTAAAGTTATTAACACGTCCTAATAGCATTGAAGCAACTGCATTTATGTATACATTCCTATACAATGCAATCTAATATAAATATAAAAATTTTATATAATTTATCATATCTTTCTGTTAGAGATTGCATTCTTTTCCAACTGTGTTGTTTTATTGTTTGTAATATATTCCAGGAAAATTTGTTCAAAATTTTTTATAAACTTTGTATTTATCGTTTTTATTCACATTGTTTAACAAATATGCATATTTGCAAAGATTAACCCCCCAGTGTTCAGTTAAAATGAGTCAACAACTTAAATTCTTTGTCTCTCTAATTGGGCAATGTGGAATTAACCCCACTGTCAGTACTACAGAGTAAAGGACCGCGATTGGATATCATCACAAATACGAAGTGGGGCACTTGGAAAAATGTTGTCCCACTTGTATCAATTTCACCTCATTTGCTTACTCCAATGTCTGTCAAAATATTATTATACTCCTTCTTACCAAGGACATAGCGTGAACCCCAACTGATTTGGTCACTTTAACCAATTGCTTTACTATAAATATCTACCCAAACTTCAAAATATATATGGGGCAAAGAAGCAGTACATGTGTGCTAAAATGGGGACAAGTGAATCACTTTTGTCTCAATCGCTTTTTTACGAAATATTCTTCTGAAATGCTTTCAATCATTTTAGTCCATTCGTTTACAGCTTCGCGACTTTTGGCTTGAACTCACAGCAAGCCAACAAAATGCCACTCCTACTCCAGAATCGGACTATTTATTTTTCATTGTATGAACGCTAGTATGTTGATATTGTAAAACCCTGAACTTATTTCCAATTGAACTTTAATTTTTGAGAATCTTACTTTGTTTTGATGTCAAATGTCGAACAAAATTATAAGTAATTAGCACGCCCTAGTAACACTCATTGATTGAAGCCTTCCAAATAGCCATTGATGTTCAAATTACATCATTTTTTTTTTGTATGTTTTAGAGGTATTTTGTACAATTGTATTTTTGTACATCTGTATATACCCCTATGCAATACCTTCTAATATATAAAAATCTATATGCCCATGATATTTGATATGTTTTGAATTTCTGTGAAAGATTGCTTTCTTTTCAAACTGTTTTATTGCTTGTAATATAATCTGGGGTAGATTGTTTAACCTTGTATTTATTGCTTCTATTCACATTGTGTAACAAATATGTATATTCGCAAATATTGCTCCTCATTCTCAAGTTGAAATGCGTCAACAAATTAGATTCTTTGTCTTTCTAGCCGGGCCATGTGGATTAACGCAACTGTCAGTACTGCAGAGTGATGTCTTGCGATTGAGTTTTAATATATATATATACAAAATGGGCACCTTGAAAAATCTCACTAATATGAATCTCACTTTATATGCTTACTACATAGTAAACATGTCTAAATATTATCATACTCATCCTTACCGAGGACATAGAATGAACCCCGATTCACTTGGTTACTTTTACCAAAGCTTTACCAAATAATCTACCCAAACTTCAAAATATTAATGGAGCAAAGAAGCAGTACATGTGTGCTTAAATGGGGACAAGTGAATCACTTTTGTCTCTTTGTTGAAACAAAAGCTTGTACTCTTTCTAACAACCTGAAGAATCGCTTTCATTTTCGTAATATTTGACGAAATGTTTTCTGAAATGCTTTCAATCATTTTAGTCAATTCGTAAAATGCCACTACTTCTCAACAATTAGGCTATTTATTTTTTATTGTATGAACGCATTTATGTAAATATTGTAGAACACTGAATTTATGTCTCATTGAATTCTAATTCCTGAGAAACTCACTTTGTTTTTATGTCAAATTTTGAATAAAATTAAAAGTGAGTAACATATCCTAATAACACTCATTGATTCAAGCTTTTCAAATAGTTATTGATGTTCAAATTCCATATTTTTTGAATGCTTCAGAGGTATTCCGTACAATTGTTCAATCAATTTCATTTCTATACTCCTAGGCAAAGTCATCTAATATATAAAAATCTATATAATTATAATATTTGAAATGTTCTGAATTTCTGTGAGAGATTGTTTTCTTACGAACTGTTTAGATTGCTTTTAATATTAACTGGGGTAACTTGTTCAACCTTATATTTATCTTTTCTATTCAAATTGTGTAACAAATATGTATATTTGAAAATATTGCCCCCATCATTCAGTTAAAATGATTCAACAAATTAGATTCCTTGTCTCTCTAACCGGGTCACCCAACTGTCAGTAATGCAGAATATTGTCCTTCGATTGAGTTTCATTATATATACGAAATAGAAAACTTGAAAAATGTTGTCCCCTTTATATAAATCCCACTTTATATGCTTACTTTATAATATGCCAAAATATCATTATACTCATTCTTATTGATGACATAGCATAAACCCCAATTCATTCGGTTACTTTCTCCACTTGCTTTACCATAAATATCTACCCAAACTCCAAAATATTGAAGTAGCGAAGAAGCTATACATTTGTGCTAGAAAAGGAACAAGTGCATCACTTTTGTCTCGATGTTATAGTAAAAACTTGTACTATTTTCAAAAACCAGAAGAATCGCTTATTATTTGAATGAAATTTAGTTTATTCGATTACAATTTCGCGACTCTTTTCTTGAACCCACAGCAAGCCAGCGAAATGCCACTCCTACTCCGGAATTAGGCTATTCATTTTTCATTGTACGCACGCTTAAATGTTAATATTTATTTTATTTCTATGACAAAATAAACAAGTTGCATGATCTTGATTTCTGTAAGCTATAGTTTAGGCATGGGGAGGGGGAACTGATGATAAACCATAGTTCAGGGACGTTAAAGAATAATCATGCCCAATCCTGCTCAGATGATTCACTCGAGAATCAAGCGGCAGAGTAGCAAATGATACCATAAAAATCATCTCTATCTCCAACAAAGTGGTTTCCAACCCACTACTCCACAAAGAATATATAATCTGGCTTATGGAGAGTGCTTCCCCAACACTTGAACAAATGAGTCATATTTTTAAACACGGCAGATTTTGGGTCGAAAAACTGAATTTTTCGCAGTCAGAATTCCGTGGTTTTAATGGTGATAATGATAAAATCAAAATTTCTGACAAACTCAAAACCACTAAGTTAGGATAGGATTTACATATTTATCCCGGGGGGTAAGAAAAACCGATAAGACGACTCAACCATATGGCGAACCACAGTCTCTCGTCCGGTTACCATTCCATGTCGGGTATGGGATTAGTTAGTTATTTGTTTTCGGAAGCATTGACTTGGAGGTAGAGGAAGCCGTAACCGACCAGCGGTTACGTGAACCATCCTACAGCGGTGTGGAGTCCAGCAATCCTTTCGCACATAACCATCCCTGCATGGGATTAGCAGAGTAATCAGAAGTGCGGTGGCAAGCGTATTCCGAACGCTTAGCCGATGAGCCACACCGCCGCGCCGAAGATGACTAAGCTTACTAAACTGACAATAAAACAAGGTTGGATACAACAAAGATTCTGTTTTTGTCATAATATGTTTTGCTTGGAAGACTCTTTTAGCCTGGAGTTGCGATCGGACTCTACTACATTTTTGACAACCAAGAGTCTAAACTCAGAGACGGACCAAGGCATTTTCATTTAAATAAGTAGTGCTCCCTATCCCTCAGACCCCAATTTGTGAATATCAGTTTTGACAGACTCCTATCCTATGCCGTATCAATGTGACTAACCAACGCGGCATTTTTGATTGAAATCAATCATTAAAGAACGATCAGACTTTTTTCATATAGTTGCAGACCCCGTGCAGTCATCACGTACCCCAGTTTGGGAAAACCTTCCGGCCTCACTATCGTGTATCTCTAACCTCTCAGCCAAGTGACACAACCTAAATTACTAACAAAAAGGAACATAATATATTTCACTGTCTAATAGTAGTGCAACAAATTCGGGTATACGATATTGCGACTAGACATAATTAATTTGATGTCATGCACTGACGTCATCTGGACGAAATTTCTTAACCAGTTCATCTACATTTGTTTTTTTATTTGATCGTTTATCGGCAAGTGGTGAATGGGTTAATGCATGGATTAACTTGTCAATACCCACAGAGTTGAAGACGTTTGCTGCAATGAAAAAATAAAGAAAGCTTGATACAAGGATAGGCTTATTATGGTACTCCCTTGGTGTGTGTACCTTTTTACTTTGCTCATTCACCAAGTTTCCATAGAGCAAAATAGAGCAAAATATTTAAATATAATTTATATTTTCCAGTTCTTTGCACATCATCAGCATTGGCAATTTTACTTTATCGAAATCTAAAAGCTTATCTTGTGTGGAAGCTTGGGTACAAATTTAAACAGCATGTGTTCTCTATCAAATGCTGAAGTTTGTAAAAAAAAATTACTTTACCTGCAATTAACTGGTGGAGTAGTTGTGATAACGAAAGGGCTTCTTCTCGAATCCTAGAATATTTGGCATTCCCTGGAAAGACATTGTATGGAATCGATTAAGAGCAAAAGTTTTATCCTCATGGAAAGTGTAGAAATGGAATGAAAATGGGAAGTAGGATATTTTTTAATTGGAAAATCATGGCAAATAATTACTAAATAAATAATATATCTGAAGGACACAAATATGTCAAAAAAAGTTATGAGATTTGTAGACCATAGCAAAAAAAAGTGAATTGGATAACAACAATATGATTATATATGGTCACCAGAATGATCATGTCCATGTAACAAATACCTGGTTTCTTACTCCCGTACCCAATATGATCTGGCAACCGACTGACAGGCCGTGCATCTGCCACATGACTGAGATGTTTTATCACCTGTCCCCCGTGATAAATATAAAAATCGTAACCCAATATATGATCTGATAACGTCTGATAGGCCGTGGTCTTCGACATGACTTATATATGGGATAAATATTGAAATCACTTCCCATTAGTGAAAATAGTACAATTCAACCACTCAAACGCAAAAAATTCTTCTCACCGAGTGACAAACAAATTCCATCAAGCAGACCAGTTCCTTCCAAATCTAAAACCTTCAATTCTTTTGAATTTCCATTTTTCATTCCTGTTTCATTTGTCTCCATGTTATATGTTGTTTTCCTTGACTCAAACAAAGTCCGGAATATTAGTTTAGTAGCTCGGAGCGCTGCAAGCTGTATATTCCATGTACTATGTGTAATGTGCTCAGTAAGAACTTTACCAACCTCAGAAAAATGATTATCTGTAATAGAAAAAATGCATTATGTTTTTTGAGTAATCATTTTGTATTCAACAAGGCCAAACCAATACATTTAGCTAAAAAATAAGATCTCATTACTTCAATATAGATGTGGCATACATTACAGATTGTTATCAAACTATTACTGGCAAGCAGAGACCGCCGGAATTTATTTAACACTTTCATCTCTTTTTATTATAATAACCGATCTTAAAATGCTGTTGAAAAGAGGGTAATTTTACATGTTAGAAGTAAAAACTTCAAGATTAAAATATTATTGAATGCTATCAGAGTGAACTTTCATTTGGATATGGGCATATAATAAACAATTAATTCCATCCCCCCTGTGTTTTCTTTCTGTCAAGCCAAGTATAGGATTTTTTTTATATTCATCATGAAGGAAAAGATGAGTTCACAAGACTTTTTAAACATATGCCACATCATGTCAAGTATAGTTAATCTGTTTCAGATGCATGGACTTGATATTGAGCGAAGCCCTGACTGATCAGCTGTTAGAATAATAATATTTTGTGCAGTTTATTATACCTTGTGTCTTTACAACGTGAGGCCATGCTCTTCCACAAGCTTCGATGCAATTCTCCAGCAGAACCAGTTTCACTCCACTTATATTTTTCTTGTTTTTTCCTAATTCATCATCATCTGTATCAGAATCACTTCCTGATGCCTGAAATTGAGGGAACACAAACACATAAGTGTACTAATGGAAGAATTGAGGACTATTTATGTTATTTGTATTTTTGGCAACTAGTGTTTTTCCAGATGGCTGCGCATGATCAGTGATGTCATCTTCACAGCACCTTGGCTTGGCGATGTAGCGCATGGTGCTTAGCGTTAGGAATGCACATGCCACTATATCTCTGATTACCCTACATGGGTTCGCAGGTTCAAACCCATGCGAAGATAGTTAGTTATATGCGAGAGGATTGCTGGACTCGCTGGCGTAGGGTGGTTCACGTGAGCACTGGTCGTTTACATATTCCTCCACCATCAATAAACGAATACCTGGCTAACTAATCCCATACCCTACATAAACTGGTAACGGGACGAGAGGCCATTGTTCGCTATATGGTCAAGCTGCCTTATCGACTTTCCTCTCCCTGGGATAAATATGTAAATTCTATCTTGTCCTAAGTGACCCTGTTAATTGTTCTATTCTGTAACTGGAGTAACTTGGTTATGGTTAGTTACGGGAATTTACTAATTATACATTAATATTGGATTAACAATGTTTACTTCAACTCATAATAGAATTAAAATAAGGAAAATCGGAAAAAAATTATTGCCTAACCCTAACCTGGTTATCTGATACAGGTTTTTATAGATTCATTTTAAACACTTAATCAAGCTTTGGATAAAAGTAACGAGTGAATTTCATGCCTACCTTTTTCAATACAGGAGAAATAATGTCCCATAAAAGGGAGAATTTATCAATCCTGTGAGCTTCGAGTACAGCACCAAGACAGTGTATTGACTCAGTTTTGTACGTTAATTTGTCTCTTCTGCACTCTTTAAAGAATATCGTCAGAATCTAGAAAAGACCAGTCATAATTTTCTTCACTAATTGGAATGAGGTTAATAATCAATGAATAAAACAGATGAAAAATAAAAAAGTTCCATTTATTTGTGTGAAAATACAAAACCATGAAAACTAACTTTTGAGAGAATAAATTTGAATACTTGGAGTACAAAAAAATCTTGTAAACAGTTTGATAGAAAAATTTTTTATTGTCATTGGAAATTTGTACATGAAATGTTAAAATCAGAGTAAAAGGTGTTATAAGAGAGGAACTAAACCCATTATTTTTGAAAATTAATTACTGCATTATTTCAATCACTCAGCAAGTCACGACACAATGAATAAGAAAACGAGAATATCGGTCAGAGACCGAAGACTTATCGATCGAAAGTTAGGGGATCCCCCAAAACAGCGCTCGAACTCCATAGTGACACCTTGTGACCCATCACTAATTAATTAATAACTCGCTAATTATACGACATAATTCATCCAAAATCAATAGGCTACTGGTACGACAAGATTCAATCTCGCTTTCGTGGGATATCGCGTGCATCTAACAGACAAACAGACAAACGAACAGACAGACAGACAAATACCTATCAACATACTTACCGATTAAAATCGATAAGTAATAACTCACCGAACTGACTTCTTCCACAGAAAGTTGTGATTTACAATGAACAGCTACAGCGCATAAAGCCGTCAACAATTTCTCTTTGCCATCCCATGTTCTTCCTTGCAATCCATGAAGCAAGATCTAAAAAGCAAGTATGAAGTTTTCAACCAATCACCACGCAGATCAAAAGAACTTTGTGATTGCTTGCAATCTAAAACTGCTACAATCGTAACATATCTGAGCCCGGCGCTCCAGAAGTGTGTACCAATATGGATGTAACTAACTTTGTTTGCCTATTTTACATCAAGTTGTATAAAGGGACTGAAACCTATGAGCAGGGGGGAAAATTCACTTGGCTAACACAGACAGACCCAGAACTTGTAATAGAACCTAAATAAGGAAAATCCGAATAAAATTATGGCCTAACCCTAACCTGGTACACACACTACGGGAGTACCCTGAACCCCGTAAAACATTTTGAGACATGGTAAGAAAAGCTGATTCATTCATATGGCAAACCGGCATGGGATTAGTTATTTCAGATGGAGTATTTAATTCAGATGGACTTCATGCAATAAGATGTTTAAAATTAACTTGACGAGGAAGCCGTGACCAGCTGACAATTAAGTTAACAACACTATGAAAAAAATTTGTCTCTCAAAAGTTTGACGGCAAGCATATCCCGAACACTTAGCACAGTGCACAAACCGCCATGCCATTATCATATGCCTCATAAGCAAGTTTTGCATTTAGTTACAATAAATAGAAATAAACTTGGTTGCATTCTTCCACACTCTGCCTATAATTTATCTTGCTAAAGGACCTACACAAATGTAAGCCATACAAAATACCCAACCTCCACGAGTTTATGTAACAGGACTCCGACTATTGTTCCTTCTTTTTGTTGCCTAGCAAGGAATGCCATGGCAGCTGCAGCTTGAGCTTTCATTTTCCACTGAGATGATTGCAAAGCAATTGATGTGAATGTGATCAACTCATCAATATAGAGCTTAATAGCTGATGCAGTACCTTGGAATTGAATAAGATAAATTATTTTGAACTCTAGCTGAAAACACAGAACAAAAATTCAGGAGAGGTGACACATAGAGTTTATAATGTAAGAATAAAGTACTACACTACCTGAGCCTCACTTTATGACATAGAATGTACGTGAAAATATTAAAATAGTCTAACAAGATGTCCAGCATGTGAGCAATGTGATAATACATGAATATTTATTCGTATAAAATGACTGTTCTTGTTGAATGATCCGACTAAGGGCTGAACAATGTGTAAAGAGATACTCTTTTGAAATTATTGAATCTTTCCGATTCCACAGCTTTTTAACCTGTAATACCAACATAGTCGGTTCTAATATTGTAACGACCGATGTTGTGTACAAGTCCCTAATTCTCAAGTCGTTGGTCGCAACCGTCCGAGTAATGAGTCACTTGTCATTCCCACCATATTTAAGTCGAGGACACATTCAAGTTACTAACTTGAGTATGCGCAACAAGGTCAGTATGCTCTGATATCTGTTGATAATTGGAATTATAACATAATATTCAAGCGAACTGCCGTACTATACCTGGAGTGAACTCCGTCCATAAATCATTCCATAAATATTTTGAGGAATTCTTGTCTTCTTTTCTATTGAAAAAAAAAAAATTACTCAGCAATAGATATACAATACAAAATTTGTAGCACAATGAACTACATCCATAATAAGAATTTCAAATCAAAGCGATTTAGAGTATTTCCTGAAAATACACCTTGATTTTGCTCAAAAACACTTGAAAATCTAGATAAAATAAATCGATTGCACAATGTAGCAGCATTGTCACAATAATGATTAACGCGTGGTATGTGCATTTTTTTGGTATTTTTTCATGCATTTATTTACAGCTTTTCCAAGGGATTTTTACACATTTTCAGAGACAGGATTGGATATTAGATATAGACATACCTATTAACGCTGAAGTGTTTAATAATAGAAAACAAAGTTTACCTTGAAACTTCCATTGCATTTTCATCTGTTTTAGCATTTTTATCTGCAGACATTTCATGCATCCCGAGAAATGCGAGTGGCAACACAACGGAAGCATGAGCACGCAACACATCAGGACTGTGTTTACCTATTGCATGACAAGCAGATGCAGAAGCATGGCGGTGAATATCATCTGGAAAATAAAAAGGAATAAAATGTATGGATTGTAACAAATAGTATAGGATTTAGTGTTTATAGCAGTGCTTGGTACAAGCTTTGAGTCAAGTCCATATTCCAGCAAACTTCATATTTTAAAAGTCACACGTCAAGTCACAGCTGTTTCGACTCGACTTCAAGTCGTATCCGAGTCGCAATAGATTTTATAAACAACAGTTAAATGGATAAATAAGTTACATTTGCACTATGACATCAACCTGTCGTTTAACCGAAATATTTCAAACGTAAAGCCAGAATATGTGAATTGACAACATTTACTTTACACCAATACAACCTATTCCAAGTTATTGCTTAAGTAAATTTTCGGTTCTTTCAATACAACATTAGTCCACGCAGTAAGTCATATTAAGCAGGAATTTTATTTTTTGTTCTTGAATTTGAATCTCAGGTCAAGTATCTCTGCCGATTAGTCACGTCTGAGTATGAATTTGTATGGATGACTCCAGTCAATTCTAATCTCTGAAAGAGGCGATTTGAGTCAAGTAATTGGCACACTGGCCACCATATTCCTAACACTGCACAATGCACAAACTGTCAAACCTGAATACTGGACAAAATGCAATTACCATAACATTAATCTGTCACGAATTATCCCCTATTTGAAAAAGTCAATCATCCTGATTTTAAAATCTACAAATAACCAATATTCACCTTCTTTCTCCAGATACCATTCCTTCAATTTGTTCAAAACTTTTGTAACGCTTCCATCCTTTGCTACTTTAACAACATGTCCAATTGCTTCAGAATTGCATTTCCTCACAGCAAGTGAATTGTCACCAAGACCTTAAAAAGACGCAACGAATAATTACTCAACCCAAAATTTATAAATAGTGAGATGCATTGTTCCCTCTAAAATAATTTCACACTGAGCAAATGTTTGTTTTAAAGAGAATGAATATTTTAAGTAAGTAAGAAAGAGTCCTGAACAATTTATAAACTTGGTAAACTCTGACTCTTGTAAAATATTACAATACTAATATCAGAATAAGAGTGACTCGTTTGTGACATCACATTGAACAACCAATAAACATGTGAAACATGGAACGAGCATTCTAGTTAGACGTTGGAAAACATGACGAGCGACGCTTTGAACATGCAATGTTGCAAGTGCGCGAGAATGGGATTTTACTGCGCAAATAGTCTGGTGGTACTGTGCAATGTCACGGTTGCGCACTCTAGAGGAAACCTTGGTGATATATCTGTTTAGCCTGAAGTGGTGAAGATGTCAAGCAGAGTACCAATTCAGATGGTGGAGCGTTTCTAACCAAGTAAGGATTCCTCTTTATTGCATCCGGTATAATTCCTCTTTATTGCATTGCGGTATAATTCCTCTTTATTGCATTGCGGTATATAACTTTAGTTCACATTTGCTTTTATTAACCCATTTTATGCGATGATGAGCTTATAAACAGTCTGTACACAAGGGTCGGGAGCCTAGATGACCATAATCGGTCCTGCACACCGACCCGCACAAAAAAATAATCGATCACTGGTATTACTGCTGAAATATTTTCTTTATTGTATTATGTATATATTAATGTTGATTTTGTTTTTGTGGCAATAAATCTCTCTCTGTCTAATAAATTGTACAATAAACGGTACCATAGCTTTTAGGCATAGTAATATAATAAAATGGTTATAAGCATTCGTTCAAAAGTTCCTGAAAGTAAACAGTTCCAAAACAGGTAAGAAAAGGAATGTAATAAAAAAGGTTGAAAATTTAACAAATTATTTTATCAACAATTTTAAAAATCACACAAGTTTTGCATTCTCTTATATATGTTTCATGAACAGCCAACCAATACACAGTTTTCAAAAATCTTATCCCTATTACCCTAAATTTCTACTTCAATACCTGATACAAATGCATTCAATATAGTTGAGGCAAATTGTGTCAGCTCCCCAGGGCAATGATTGACAAGAGAGATAATCACATGAGAACAACCAGCCTGGAATACAAACATTTCAATAGTCATCAGATGGATGCATTTGAAAAAGGCATAGAATATACGTAGGAGTTAATTTAAATGAATTTATATGGCTCAACTTGGAAAACTAAACAGCTACAAAAAGTGCTCCAGAAAAAGCCTAGACCTGATAAAAGAAAGTGCCTATACTAGTATATTAAATCTTAAGTTGTGCTATCAATTATTTCAGATTTCCATTAGTAGAATCGATGGACTCCTCGCCTTTGCAGAGTGGTTCACATCCAGTGTCTCCCAATGTCAAGGATCAGGCTTTACAGTCATTTCGTCCCAGGGACGTGTCATGAACTGTTTATAAAATTATATCCACACTCGAGCCTGCATGGGCCGAATGGTCTGGTGAAAACGCCTATACACCCAGAATCGAGCCTAATGGATAATCTAGCTATTCCATATCAGATCTGGATTGGGATCACACAAAAGGCTGTGGACTGCTTTATGCTTTCTTTCTTGTCAACTTTCCTCTACCACAGGATGAAAGTAAGAATACCATACATTACCTTTGTCATGACTCCATAATTCTTCTTCGAAATATCAGTCAACGAGGGGAGAAGTTGTTTGAGAGTTTCAGTGTCAGCGTATTGTAACACTCGATCAATAGTTTCAACCATTGGTGATGATTTTGCAGCTTCGGCCCGAGCAAGATCTAACATCTGTCTTCCGTCTTGATCGCTTCTCACTGCTAAGTAGTTCAACATCTAGGAAAATAGATAAAAAGTTTGAAAGTTGAGTCACAAAGAACAAATGTGCGACTAAAGTAAAGGTTTTTCATTTTATATATTTGAAACAAATTACTGGGTAACTATTACTAACTATTAACTAAATTACTTGTTAACTATTCCCATACCCGACATGAATTGGTAACCATGTGAATAGGCCGGATTCGCCATATGATTAAACAGTCTTATTGCCTTTCTTCTCCCATCGGATAAATATTTCAGTACTACCCTATCCATTCAGCTTTTCAACTCAAATTGGTCAAAACTCAACCTCACATGTAATATATTAACAGTCTCTCTGTAACAATCTCACCGCTAACATTGCAAAATAAAAATTTGATCAAAACAGATGTAGTGACACCAATTGCATTATGATTAGAACGCTGGACTTAACTATGTTGAAATTTCGAGTACAAGATTTTGGGTTTCAACTTTCATACCTAGCACCAGGGGCACAGCCTGGTATTTTCATATGGCGGTTCTGAAATTTCTAAAAGTCAAGTTAAACCATAACAGCTAGCGGGTCCAGTCGAAAGTCGGTAAAGTGGGTTTTTAAGAGTCTTTGAGGATCTGAAAAGCGATTCAAGCTACGAAAAATTGCTATGTATGACACATGCTTTTTTTACACTTCAAACTGGGGGTTCCCCCCTGGGTATGTCCCTTCTCATCAACGCTACCAGGACTGTGAAGTAGTAACTGGCGCTTGCATGCTTTTTTTAAGTTGAAGTCACAGACTTTCAATGAGCACGGTTCATGCAAAAAATTGTAACTTTTTACATATAATGCATACATGGACCAATAAATTTGACTTACAGCAGGTTCAAATTCCGACAAAGCTTCCAGTAAAGCAATCACCATTTGTGGAATACAGGATTTAATCAACTTTCCACTTTTCTTGCTCACTTCAACCAAGGTATTGAGACTTGATAAAATGAAGAAAGTTTCGTTATATGAAAAAATCAAAAAATATTTTTTGGACAATTACAAACTTAATTCCTTTAATGGTACAGATAGGTGTCTCAAATGTCTCAATGAGTGAGTAATAACTAAAATAAATATTCTGTAAATAAAATATTCAAATCCAACCTTAATGTTTTAACTTCTTTTACTCTGCTTGACAAACCTTCTTTCAACAAGACAGGTAAGATTTGTTCAACAGCTTTCTCTCCCAACTTTCCTTGATCATGTTCACACAACTTTATGGTTATCTGAAATTTAGATGATAAAAGTGTAATAGATGTTTGAAATTTAGGTTGGTCAGTTTATTCATAGATAATTGGATCTATTATAAAAGAAGCATTTTATTTGGGATAGCTTTTTTAATATTATTACAACAGAGACAAAAGTCAATGAAATGCCAAAAAATATGGCAAACCACAGCCTTTTGCCACTTATCAGAGGATACATGAACCACCACAAAATGAGTCCAACGATCCTCTCACATATAAATTACTCCCACATAATCTAAACATCTGTCGAGTTTCAAGATGTTTAATGACGAGCGTCTTCCTAATGCTTCCTAAGGAATTCAAAGTAAGATAAAATAAAAGCATACAGAAAATAGACTAAACACAAAAAGAATGAAAGAATTCAAATCAAGTAAATAAATTTTTACTAAATCTCCATTCCTAAGAACACACTGATGGATGTCAATGGCAAATTACTACTCATAAATATATTTATACCTTATTAAGTGATTTTGAAGCTACAGTGGCAGCATCTCTGACAGTCTCTTTAATATCATCCATAACTCTCAGTGTTGCAGTCCAGAGTTCAGGCAGAGCACTGTAAACAGGAGAAATTTTATGAAAAATTGAATTAACCTTATAGCAAGGTCTTAGATTCGAACCCAGACCCAATCTACGTGCAATAAATTGGCAACAAACTCCGCAACATCCAGTAACTCTGTATGTTTGAGTGGCTGATATACAGAGTATTGTATGGATCAAAAATGTTCAAAACATAATAAGATGCATAAAGAAACCATAAACTTTCTGTACTCCCATAGCATGTGAACCAAGATGGCGGACACCAGAACGTAGTATGTGTACTAGGTTAGGGTTAGGGCATAATTTTATTCCAATTTTCCTTGTTTAGTTCTATTACGAGTTCGGGGACTAGCCAAGTGACTCCCACAGTATTTGCACCTGAAATTATTGCCTAATCCTAACCTGGTACACATATTATGTTCCGGTGTCCGTCATCTTGGTTCACATACTTCGGAAGTACCAAACTTTCTACCTTTTAGTGCTTTGTCTATGGCCTTGTTGGAAGCAAAACTGATGTGGAAAAACTAAAAAAAGATTGACAAATTCGATGGTAATTTACCTTATAATTATATCACTTTCTTCTCCACCTTTTATACCTCTCCCACCTCGTAACAAATCTGAGACAGCGAGACAACTTGCCTGACGTGTTCTCCATATGCTTGACGATAAATTCTTCTTCAAATCATCGGTAATAGCTTGCAGATATTTATCAACCTAAGAAGATAAATTTTTTTTTCTATAAAGTTACGAACATTAAAGATGGTAGTTGGGCTTCAGTCTTGAGTTGGATTCAAGTCATCAAAGATTTGAAGTGACTCCAATTGTCTAAATAAGTGGTTCTCGAACTTTTTAGGCTGCGTCCCAATTTTAAGAATTTGTCAATTTGTCAACAAAAATAACTAGCTAACTATAAGCTACAAAAAATATATAGTAAGGGAAAGAATGTTTTATTTAAACAACACGTTGAAAATACATGGATAGAAGGTAAATATCCAAAATAAAGAAATGTAAATATCAAAAATAAGGCGGGCAAGATTTAACCTAACAAATATTTTTATTTTTAGTTAGCTTCACGCCCCCTCAAAAAATTGTCTACACCTCCCTTGTGGAGCGAGTCTCACCAATTGAGAATCACTGGTCTGAATGAAATAATTGGGACTTCTACTCAACTAGCTGCCGGTGAAACTCATCTCAGTAATTAAATTAACTTCGTCCTGGCTCTATTCCATGACCTGTCTTGAGTTTAGGAAATCTTGCCAACTTTTGTAATGAGATGTACTATGGGTGGATGTTGAATATTTCTCAAACTCAGATAGGCAGGTCATGCACGGATATTCTGGCAAAAGCGTAACTGTTCACAAACAGTAATATTTACAATGCAACTCCCAAGTACATTGAAGCAGGGTTGTCTGGAGGGTTGGGGCATCCTGCAAGCATTAGCGAACTCTGCACCGGATCAGACTCTAAAATGTAATAAAGGATTGCTGAGCTTTTCCGTCGTAAGATGGTTCTTGTAACCGCTTTTCAGTTAGGCTTCTACCACTATTAAGTCCGTGAATTTAAAACAAATAACCAGCAAAAACCCCATATAACCTATATGGATTGGTAATCGGACGAGGGGACGTGGCTCGCCATATAATAAAGTGGTCATATCATATCAGCTTTCCTCTGCACCGCAATGAAAACGAAATTACTATATTTGAACAATATAGCTTACATGTTAGTGTTAATAGCATTCTATATATTTAACGAATGAATAAATAAGCCTTGAACAAAGAACAACTCGGTTCAAGTGTGAAAGTCTTCAACAGAAGGATATATTTGACACGATTGCCAGCAAGGTTTAACCTTACTCAATTAATAATCGAAGCCTCATTCGGTACGCCGGAACAACAAAACTGCCGGACTGCCGCCGCAAAGCAATGACGGATGTTTTGAAAGCAATTGACATTCATTTGATATGTCCGATTGCTGGAAATGTGTCAAACTTTGTGTTTTTTTTGTTTGGAATACATGTCACGCGGTCAACAAATAAAAAACAATGCACTGCAGTTGTTAGTATAATGAACAAAAGAGCAATGCTCAAAGATATGGACGCAAAAGTCAAAAGTTGAAACAACATTCCTGCGAAATAACACATAACACAAATTTCGACTGAAACACTGGAGTCCGCGTCGGGAAAATGTTTAAAATAAATATAAGCATTGAAAACGAATGAAGTCGATATGAGAACAGCTGTTATTTCTTTTTAAAATCTTTACCTAACGCTCAATTTACGGAAACAATGTTTTGATAATTTACTTTTGCACACAATACTGAGTGAGCAGTACTCCCCTAGAGGTAATTAAATTATTTCGTCAAATGTCATTTCCATTAACCAGTTGGTATGTGTATCTTACTGTCTTGGAATAAGTACATGTGGCCTTGCTAACCGATATTATGTGTGTCTTGACAACACATATATTAAGGACACGAAGTGTCAAAACACATTTATTAATACGCTATTTATAGGTCACCGATTGACTAATAATACATAAGTTAAACTTTAAAGATTAAATTGGATGAATCAAGGTACAAATAAACATATACAAGTACGTCATGTTAAACTTTACGTTATGATAAATAAACGGCAAGTTAATAGAAAGATTTAAACTTCAAACAAGGTTGATGGAAATAACAAGAATAACTATAACTTATCGATACTTTCCAAACGGTTCACCACAAACTTGTTCATATTCGTTTCGATCATCAAAACAGAAATTTCCCCGATATAAACGTGTGGTCACGGGGTGAAAAAAATAAAATAAAAAATAAATTTGAAGACTACGATTTTCGTCTCGTTCATTTAATCATATAAATTATCCATAACGATATAAACGCATTTGGTAGAGATTAAAGACAAATAAAAATTAAAAAATCTTTTACGTCAAATTCCAAATCATACTCAGAAAACGTCTGTCACCTGTTGTATATAGAACATATTCCAAGTACTCGTATGTTATATAAAAAAAAAACAGAAATTTCTCCGATATAAACGTGTTTGCTTGGTCCCGAATAAAAAAAATTAAAAAAAAACAACTTAAAAAACAAAATTTCGTTTCGTTTATTAAATCATATCAATTATCCATAGAGATATAATCGCATGAAACCAAATAAAAAAAAATCATAAATGAAAACGTTCTAAAAATATTTTAAATCGAATTCCTCAGAACTTCCAAATCATACTCGGAAATAATATCATAGATACGCTCGTCAACTGTTGTATATAAAACATATTCCAAGTACTTGTTTGTAATATATCATATATCAAAAATAATAACAAAGTCTGATTCATTGGTTCTCGCTATTCAAGCCTCGAAAACGAACTTTGCCGCTGGCATTGATGCTAAAAATGACCAGGAAATTTACCCGCATTATCCGGTATGAACTGTTATCACTCGATTCTGTCTGTTGCGCATCGTCGTCTTTAAAATTATAACTTTATTCATTCACATTTTAGCGTACTGAATTATGACTATTCAATTCTGTCTGTTGCGCTTCAATTACTTTATCGACAACTAGTTAAATTTTAACAAAGCTAAAAATATACACGAAATACACATACTGAATTATGACCATTCGATTTAACCTGTTGCGCTTCAATTACTTCATCGACAACTTGTTACATCTTAACAAAGCTAAATAACTATTTACGAAATTCACCCGCATTTTCAGGTTACTAATTATGACCATGCGATTTCGCATTCTGCGCTCCATCAACTTTTGTGACGCAGTTGCCTAGTCGTCGAGGCTTTAAGAATTAACTGTGAAAATCATGAATTGAGGATGGACCCCCATTTTTGAAAGATAAAAAAAGTTTCGCTAGTTCAAAACCCACTTTAAATCCTACCCGGGCCACACCGCTTCCGTCACCAGCGAAATGCATATTGAAATACGTCTTATAAAAACACAGATAAGAACTTGTTTTCTGAGTTCGTGTTTGAAAGCAACAATCATAGAATATCTTGATTTCTAATCTTTCCTATGAAAATATTATTTTAACATGTTTTTTTTTCATAAATTTCCGGAAAAAACAAAGATTACGTAATATATATTAAAAATCATAATAACACAAAAACATTTCCATTTCTCCGCGAGGAAAGTAGTTATTTTTAGAGGCTAATTCACACACCAATATGTGAAACTAAAAAAATGTGTGATAATTTCTTCCTACATTGCAATGTATTTAAAAATTCCATATTCGAATATATTATAGAATAGTGAATTACGATTTCGGTCATTGGTGCTCACAAACCAATAACGCTATTATTGTATATAGGTTTGCGATCCCACTATTGCATTGCAAGGCGCATTGAACGTTTCCGCTCTCAAGCATTGTTTCCGGTGGAGCAGCGAGTGCGAGGCACAATGCACGGCGAACGCAGTAATCTCTTGTACAGACGGATAAATACGGCATGGTTTTCCACATCATGAGAAGGGATGGATCTTTCGCCATTAGAATGCCTTCTCTGTGGAGGCTCTTGATCTGCCATTTGGGCAGTGGGTGAGGAATGTATGTTCTCTACCGCAAGAGTACATACATATAGAGTATAGATAGAAGAGTAAGCGTTCTCCTCCGCGACAGGTCATAAGGCAGACAGGCAGTGTGTCTGATTTCACGAGGAAGCGACACAAAGAGTACTGACAATAATATACAATGTTGTATGTAAATCTCTTAGATGAAAAATGGTGATAAATGTGCCAAGGTATTTGTAAAATTTGTTGTAAAAATTATAAAACGTGATAATATCAACTTGAAAATATACAACTGTGAGAACTAACGGATGCATTGCACATGCAATGGACTTAGATATATCAAGTAGATATTTAGCAGTTATAACGAAAACTGTCAACGTATATCACGCACTGGTCTGAACCGCAAGGCTGAAGAAATAACATTATAGAAACATAAATTATTTTAAATTTGTGTGTGTCGAACGTTCGACAATGTTTTGAAGTGTCTATAATTTCAATATTTGTAATGTAGTGAAATATGACGTAGTTGTTGTGATGATGTAATATAGGATTAAATCATATATTGATTTAGATTGCAACTTCCCTCAACGAGTTTGTTGTGGTCGCTGTAAGTTTATTTCATTTTCGATATACAGTTAGCAGTCTTCAAGTCTTTCCTACGGTATGAGTTCAGAGATTTTGTTTTCTGTTATAATAACGTAGATTCAGCATGGCTGTTATTTATATAAACTTTAGTCATTCAAAACTCAATACACTCGGGTAAAATAAGTGGCCACCTATTTTACCCGGGTAGAATTGGATTTTATATGACTAGGGTATTTTCAATTCAAAATATTGATATCAACGAGAATCGGAAAAGTTTCAAAAGTCACTGAAGCATGACCAGCCACGAGTCGCTACAGCAAAATTAAGAATTTAAATAATTAAATCGAAGATAACGGAATGTTATATAAATCCTAATTACATTACCTTTCTATAGTTTGATTATTTTAATATCGAAAAGGTAATCGAATATCGTAGTTGTCGTATATTTATGAATAAAAATTAGCTTTCGCTTCCATTGTTACGTAAACCATTATGACTCATAATGCGGCTGATACGGTTCGCCAAAACACTACAATCGGCGCGAAAAACGAAATCGAAACAAGTCAAATCTATTCACAATGATCACTACATGTGGTGAGATATAATTACCATAT